CCCCAACACTGCAAGAGATTGGACAACCATTTCTCTGTAATGGTATAGGTCTCCTGCTTTGGCAAGGGGGTGGACTAGAAGACCTCCAAGGTCCCTTCCAACTCTGTTATTATGTTACCTTAAGGATCTGTCCTGGATCCAGGGCCCCTGAACATTTTGAGTAAATGTGGAGACTCTAGAAAGAGTGCAGAGAAGGGCAGCAAAGGTGATGAGGAGACTGGAGGATAAAACATACTAAAAATGGTTGCTGGAACTGGGTATGTCTCGTCTGATGAAAAGAAGGACCAGGGGAGACAGGATAGCAGTCTTCCAATATCTCAGGGGCTGCCCCAAAGAGGAGGGAGTCCACCTATTCTCCAAAGCACCTGAGGGCAGGACAAGAAGCAATGGGTGGAAGCTAATCAAGGAGACAAGCAACATAGAACTAAGGAGAAATTTCCTGACAATTAGAACAATTAATCAGTGGAACCACTTGCCTCCAGAAGTTGTGAATGCTCCAACACTGGAAGTTTTTAAGAAGAGGTTGGGCAACCATTTGTCTGAAGTGGTGTGGGGTTTCCTGCCTAAGAAGGGGGCTGGACTAGAAGACCTCCAAGGTCCCTTCTAACTCTGTTATTTTAAATAACTGAAGACAATGGAGAAAAAGGGTCTTCATAAGAGTTTTGGATGGCACAAAGCTGGAGGGGCTGCTAGAAGGCCAGAAGACCTCAGAAAATCAGCTCGGTTCCAAAGGATCTCGACAGTCTTGGGCCGAAACGTTGTGGAGGGATCAGGACTGCTGATGTTCTGCACTCTGGCAGAGAAACAAGAGAAGGGACACCAGACTGTGGAGAGTACGGAAGGAGAGTTTGAGTGAGATGGGCCAGATCCGTTTCTCAAGTGACAAGGGGTGCTAGGTTTAAGTCCAGAACAAGCAGGAAGCGTGTGGAAACGGCTCAGACGCTTCCCTCATTGGCAGGGGAATGGCCAGCCTAATCCCACTTGCCAGATTCTGTTATTGGAGCCACTCTCAATAAAGGGAGACTTGGTCTTCCTGTGGAGTTTATTCTGGGTCTGGTCTACCTGGTGGGGCTGGCGTTGACCCGGCAGTCTTACTCCTTGTCCGAAGGCTCTTGGTGTCCGGGTGGGCCAGAGATTCAGTGGGAGCCACAGCTGCCATAAGAACCAGGGCAATCCTGGGCTGTGCCAACAGAGTTTAATACTCAGAGCACAGGAAGTAACGATGCCACTCTGTGCCACCCTGGTCAGGCCACCGCTGGACAACTGGAGGACATGCAGAGAAGGATGGTGAAGACGGGCCTGTAGGAGAGTAATTAGAGGAACTTGGCTTGATGAAGAGAAGGGAGTCAGAATGGAGCTGGACGGGCCCTTGGAGGCCTTCTAGTCCAACCCCCTGCTCAAGCAAGAGACCCTCTACCATTCCAGGGAAGTGGCTGTCCAGCCTCTTCTTCTTCAAAACCTCCCTGGATGAAGCACCCACAGCTGTTCCATTGTAGACTGGAGGTTTTGAGGCCAAGGTTGGGCAGCCTTTGGTCCTGCCTTGGTGGGGGGGAGATGTTGGCCTCCTCTCTCCTCCCGGCAGTGGGGCAGCTCCCCCTTTTCCAGGTGAAGCCTGGCGCCGGGGCCATTGGGCTCCCAGGGCAGGGCAGGGCCTCCTCTGAGGGGGCTTCAGGCAGGGTTGGGGTCCCTGGCGTAAAAGCAGCCCCCCACCAGCCCTTCTCCAGCCTCCCCCTCCCCTGGGACGAAGCTTGCGGGCCAGAGGCAAGTCCGGGCAGCCCCTTCCCGCCCTCCTCCCCAGCCGGGTGGGCGAAGGAATGCGCGGGGCTCGGGGGGAGGGCGGGCAGGGGGCCGCTTCGCTCGCTCGGCCCCCTTTTGTGTCCCCGGCCAGCCGAGCGTCTCCGGAGCGGCCCCCGCCGATGCCCCGCGCTTCAAACGCGCCGCGCCAGCTGGACGGAGCTGGCCAAACAAGGGCGGGCGGGGGGGGCCGGCTCCCATTTCGCCCTTTGTGTCCCGCGGCCCGCAGCGGGGGAAGGCGGGGGTTGGGCCGAGGGCCTCCCCTGGGCAGCGGCCTCGCTTGGCCTGGCCTTTGCCCCGCGAGGGACCGGCCCCTCCTGGCCAGGGCAGCCGGCGCGGGCCGCTTCCGCTCAGGTGGCGCGCTGCCCTTTGTGTCCGAGGCTGCCGCGGCCTCGAAGCTCCGGAAATCACACGCGCCGCAGCTTGAATTTCAGGCTTAATGCCGGCAAAGTTTCTGCCTTGGATGAGCTTGGATGGTAGTTTTACCCGGGGGGGGGGGGGGGGGGGACAGTCCCATTTAACACTCAAGGACCTGGAGGAAAAGATCCAGTTGCTTTTGATTTTGATAGGACCACCGGCCCACCGGAGGTCACCAGTGGCTGAAGCCGGGTTTTAAGTAGGAAGAAAGACAGAGAGAGAGGAAGGTAGATGATAGAGATATAAATAGACAAAAGATGGAGATGATAGAGAGTGTGTGTGTTTGTGTGTGTTTTGGTCTGCAGAACCTAAAAAAGATGTTGAGACTCTGGAAAGGGTGCAGAGAAGAGCAACAAAGATTATCGGTTCTTGGAGGCTAAAATAGATGAAGAACAGTTGCAGGAATTGCAACTTAATGAAAAGAAGGACTAAGGGCAACATGTTAGCAGAATTCCAATATTTGAGGGGCTGCCACAAAAAATGGGGTCAGCAATTCTCCAAAGCCCCTGAAGGCAGGACAAGAAACAACCTGGAACTAAGGAGAAACTTCCAAACAGTGAGGACAATAAACCAGTGGAACTGGTGATGGGGGCTCCGTCACTGGAGGCTTTTAACTGGGCAGCCAGCTGTCTGAAATGGTATAGGCCAGGGTCTCCTGCCTGAGCAGGGTCTTCTGGGTAGGCAGACCACCTCCAACTCTGTTAGATTCTGGTAAGATGGATAGATGATAGATGATAGATGTACTGCAGATAGGTAGGTGATAGAGATATAAAGAGATAGACCAAAGATAGATGCAATAGATAGCAGTGAGGAAGAGAGATGGATAGACAGACAGACAAATAGGAAGACTCTAATTTGTGGCAACAAAAATGTTGCATGTGGCCTGTCTGAGATCACCTTTTCTGAATGGTCACCCTCTGAATTCAAAACCAGAGGCCCTTCTGTACAGAGGCCAGAAGAGGCTGGACTGAGGCAGGATTCAACTTGAAGGGGGAGGGGAGGGAAGGGGGGAGAAAGGAGAAGGACAGGTTGGTTGTGCAGATGTGAGTTACATATAACCTGCATGTGCACCAGCAGCCTGTCTCCTCCCCTCTCCTCCCCTCCCTACACCCCAATTTCAATCCTGTCTCATTCCAGCCACTCCTGGCCTCTGAGGAAAAGATTTTAATAATGTTTATGAGTCATTAAAGGTGCTTGCAGGCTCCTTTGAAGATATGGCTACCTACAACATGGTTTTCAACCTTGGTAAGTTTGAGGTGTGTGGACTTCAACTCCCAGAATTCCCCAGCCAGCCTTGCAGGGAAGGAAGGAAGGGAGGGAGGAAGGAGGGAAGGAAGGAAGGGAGGGAGGAAGGAAGGAAGGAAGGAAGGGAGGGAGGAAGGAAGGAAGGAAAGAGGGAGGAGGGAGGGAGGAAGGAAGGAGCCTCTGGTTGTGGGTCAGCATTGTAAGGCCCAAGAGGCCAGTAGGAGAAGAGGGGCCGAGCACCCTTCCCAGCTGGGTGCGGTGCAGCTTCTTAGGTGGATTCCAATGTGTGAATAGCCCAAGACAAGATCAGCAGAAGTTCCCCAAAATACCCTGATGAGCGGTGAAGAGTCCCAGAGCGCTAAACCGGCCCCCCAACGCTCTGTGACCCACTGATCCCTGTACCCAACAGCTGTGGTCCTGTGATGTGGGAGCCCCTACAAGGCCCCGATGTTGACCTCGGGCCCAGCCTGCTTCACAGAAGCCTGGGGCTGCCCCAGTGCTCCCTGCTTTCAGCTGCCATAAGTGCTGGATGGGGGCCCATCCCACTGCCCCCACAAATGGGGTCCGCCCTGGGCAGACCTGAGGGTGGCCCAGGGGAGCCTGGGGATCAGGCAGCAGGGAGGGTGCCTTCTCTTGGCCGGACTGCCTGAAGCATCCGGTGGGCAGGGACCGGTTCTATTCCAGGCCCTGGAGCTCTGAGCAGAAATGTTTTCAATGCCCACACATTGAAGGGGGTGTCAGGAGTGCTTCTCGAGGGGGGGGAGGGGGTTGTCCCAAAAGGCCTTGCAAAGAGGCCCTGGCGCCCCACCTGGCATCACTTTCACTCAGCCAGCTGGAGACCAGCAGCTCCCAGGAAAGAGCCCCCAGGCCCCTTGCCCAGCCTTAGTGGGCCTCTCCTCCAAAGGGGGGGGGGCCTCCCTCTTGTCCCCCACCAACTGGAGCGGGCACACAAACTCCGGGGGGGGGGGGCGTTGCACAGCCTCACTCAGGCACGGAAAGGAGCTTTGCCCGCCTGGCTGGGACCCCGGCCCGAGATTGGCCATCCAGTCCGCCTCCCTGGGGGAGGAGAAGCCGCAACGGTCCCGCAAATGGAATCGCAGCTTCCTCCCCCCGGCGGGGCTTTCGGGGTGCCTCGCCGCGCTGCTCAGGGCCTCCTCGCTTCGGGACGCCTCCCGCTAAGCGCGGCCCCGGGGGGACGGAAGCCCCAGGCCGACCGGAGGGCAGAGGTGGGGCGGCCGCGGGAGGGTCCCGCAAAGGTGGGAAGGGGCCGCAGCGCCTCCCCTCGCGTCCCGGGTCAGACGGGGCTCGTGGGCTCCATCATCCCCAGCTGGGCGGAGGCGCGCGGACCGCTTGGAGTCCCGGGTTGGGCGCGCCGGCGGGCGCTCTGCACGCGCTCAGAGGCGGCCTCCGGCCAGGGCAGCGGCGCGGGGCGCGGGCAGGAAGCGGCGGCCGGAGCGGGAGGCGGCCCCGGCGAGCGGGCTGGCGGGCAGGCGGAAGGGGAGGGCCGGCGAGGGAGGAGCGAGCCAGCAGCCAGGCAGGCGGCGGCGGAGGAGGAGGAGGAGGAGGAGAGCTGTGCGCGACGGGGCTGCAGCCGGAGCCCGCGCGGCCCTGAACTTTGCGCCGCTGCCGCCGCCGCCGCGATGCGCTGAGAGCGGCCGGCCGGGAGCCCCATCGCCGCCCGCCCGTCCCGCCATGGGCGCCCTGGACGAGCCGCCGCCGCCTCCCCGCCCGGCGCCCCCCGACCCGCCGCGCTGCTAGGCGCCCCACTCGGCCGGCCGTCGGCGGGGGAAGCGGCGGGGGCGGCGCCGGGGCTCGCCCGGCCAACTTCGGCAGGGGCCGCGCCCGCCAGCCCCCGCAGCCGCCCCGGCCCAACTTTGCCTCCGCCGCCCCGGCCGGGACCCCTCGCCGCCCGGCCCCGGGAGCAGCAGGAGGAGCGGGGCGGCCGGAGAGTCCCCCGCGCCCGCCCGGCCCCGCCCCGGCCGCTATGGCCATGGTGACCGGGGGCTGGGGCGAGGCGGCGGGCGGCGGCGGCGGCGGCGGCGGCGGGGAGAGCAACGGCCTGGAGAAGGGCTACCCGCGGCCCGCCGAGGACGACTCGGCCTCCCCGCCCGGCGACCCGGAGCGCGGCGGGGGCCTGGAGGAGGAGAAGGCGGGGGCGGCGCCCGTGGACTGCGTGGTCTGCGGGGACAAGTCGAGCGGGAAGCACTACGGCGTCTTCACCTGCGAGGGCTGCAAGAGCTTCTTCAAGCGCAGCATCCGCCGCAACCTCAGCTACACCTGCAGGTGCGCGGGGGGAGGGAGGGGGGAGGGGGTCGGCCTGCTGCCCCCGCCGCCTTCCGCCCAGGCCGCGCCGCTGGGGAGGGGGCCGCGCTCTGCGGCGGTTGCGGGGCCGGGAAAGGCCGCCCCCACTGCCCTCCCCGGCCGGCCTGGAGAGGAGCGGGGGGGGGGGGGCGGGGGGGAGGCCCCCTGGGCTGGGCTGCTGCGGGAGTTTTGCCCGGCGGGGCGGCCCCTCCTTTCTCGCGGATGGAGGGCTGGGCCGACGGGGGGGGCAGCCCCTCAGGCATGCCCGCTCTCCAACGGGGGAGGCCCGGGGGGCTTCGCGAGCGGCGGGGGCGGCAATTGCGCGGCGGGGGCTCCGGAGCGGAGATCCCGGCGCCGGCGACCCCCGGGGCCCCGCGACGCCCCCTCCGTCTCCCCGGCACTGGGTCGGCTCTGCCCGGAGCTGCAGGTGCTTCGCCCGCCCGCACCTGCCGCCCGGCTGGGCCACGTGGAGCTGCTGGTGCGGCAGGTTGCGTGGGGGTCCCGGCTGCCTCCTTGGCACCCCCGGGCCCGGGCCCACCGGATGCCACGCGGGGCTCGGGGCGTGCGGACCGGGCTGGCTTGGCGGGCGTGGGAAGGGTCCCTGCGGGGCTCGGGAGGGGCCTTGACTAGACCGTCTGTGGGGGGGAGTAAAGGGATGAGCAGCCCAGGTGTGGGGCGCAGGGGGAGGGGCTCCAGCTGGCTTCCTTTGCCAACCCACCCTGGAAGAAGCGAAGCCCAGCTGTGGGGTCTGACTGGGGCAGAACTCTGGATGGCAAACCGGACCTGCGGTTTTGGGGAGCAGCGACAGGGGCTTCTGTCTTAGATGGCCAAAATTGGGCCACATTGGTCTCTCCCCCCCCCAAAGGATTCCTGGGGAGGTGGGAGGATTCTCAGCTGGAATCTCCCCTCTCAATCTTCTCCCCAGGTTGAGAAAGAGACAAAGGGGGGGGGGATGTCCCGTCTGAGTGGGATTCTGGAGGCAGGTAGAGACATCAGACCCCCTGCCCAGGATCACGCAAAAGAGGCCCCTTTCCCAAAGCTGTGGTCCTCAGAGGTTTCCACAGTGTAATTGCAGATCAAACTCTTGTGGTGAAGCTAAGGCGCTAGTTCTCATTGTGCACGGGGAAACAGTTTTCTCCTTTGTTTTCCCAATAGTCCTTTCATGCTCCCTGACAAGGAGGGCATGTGTGTGCGTTGGCATGGCCAACACCAGATGATTGCCACTGGAGTGCCAATTGCTGTCTACCTCCTCCCAAGTTTCCAGACCTCATAGTGTGAGTCTCAAGAGAGAAGCAGCAGCCTCCAAAGCAGTTGTGCGCACACTCCGCACCAAGCAGGAGGGGGACTTTTCTTCTTGGAGATGGTGGGGGCCAAACTGGATGCCCCAGTGGTCAGCAGGGAGCCCCCTCCCCCTCTTCTGCCCAGGCCTCTGATGGGCTGGACCTTTGTGGGTGAACTAATAGGAGGTCCCTCCCTGGAAGGCATCAGGGCCACGGGCCCCCTGCCTGTCCTACCCTCTCGGCCTCGGTGCTGTGTCCTGCCACAGGGAAGGGCCACTGACCCACCTGGTCAATTCGTGGCTCCTCTTGAGTGGGTTATGTGACACCCAAGAGGGAACTTGTGGCACAGGGGCCCGTCTGTCCGGTGGCTGCTTTCAGCTTCCGTCGTGCCCCTGCCCCTCCAGAGCCCCCCTTGCCTCCTGCTCAGGAACCCCAAACCCTGTGCCTCCGCTGGGTGGCTTCCCTTCCCTGCCTGAAAGATGCTAGTCCTCATGAGACAGGGATCAACCTGAATGGTTGGCCTGTCTGCCTGGCCTTTCCAAGGGGGCTGCTGCTTTGCCTTGGTCTTGCCCCCTCCCTCCTTTGCTAAGGCCTGGTCAGTCTCAGGGGGAATGGCCTGTTTTCCTCCTGTGGGGGGGCAGGTCGGGGCCCAAGGAAGGGGGGAGAAGGAGAATAGTTCCAGGGTCAAAGTCCTCCAGATGCCTCTCAGCTTGGCAGCTTTCCTCAGGGGCACTTATGCCCCCCCCCATAGAAGGCAATTGGCACATTTCTCCAGCTGGGCTGTTTCCAGGGCAGGGGGCACCCCTGGCCCTCTAGGAACCCCCACTTCTCTCTCTCAACTTGCTTTCTGGGGGGGGGCTCTGGAGGGCCCTCCTGGCCATGCTTGGCCCACCCAGAATTTGCCAGTCTCTTGTGCCTCCTTGTGCGCAGTCTGGGCCTGACCAGCTGATGCCCAGCCTGGGTTGCAGTTACAAAACGCAAAGCAGCCAAGTGGACGCCCCTTCGGCCCAATCTCTGCCTGGGGAAGGAAGGTTTGAAGAAAAAGGGATGCAGAAGAACAGCTTCTCCCCCCCCCCATATCCTTTGGGGGAGGGCATTGCAGAAGGATGGGACTTCCAGACTTGGGTGGGGGGTATCTGTGCTAATTCCCCCCTCCTGGTATCCTGTCTGAGTGCCATCCGGACTGGGCTTCCCAAGCCAGCCAGCATCTTCTGCATCTCGTTTTCATGAAAAACCCACCCCTCCAGATGGAAACAGTGTGGGGGGGGACACATACGTGGGAAAGGGAGGTCGGGGAGGGGGCTTTAGGCCTCTTCCCTCCCCAAAGGTGTGAGAATCAGCCAGATTCCCAAAGGCAGCTTCTCTGGCTTTTTTGGCCCTCTCCATCTGGGCCTGGGTCTTTGCATGGGGGGGCCTGGGGGGACTTTTGACTTCCTCCCAACCTGCGGATGAATCACCTGGAACTTGCAAAGAGTGTGTGTGTGTGTCTGTGTGTGTGTGAAGTTAAGTGATGTGTTGTGAGTTTCTTAAAATAGAGCTGTCTCCGATTCCCGTGGGGGGGGAGGGGGCTTGCTGGGCAAATTATTGAGGCGCCCTGGAGGGGCTGTTTGGGGCGCGTCAGATTACAGATTAACAGAGTTGGAAGGGAGTTTGTAGGTCATCTAGTCCAACCCCCAACCCCCCCCCCAAGCAGAGGACCCTACCCCATTTCTGGCAAACGGCAGTCTGGCCTCTTCTTGGACGCTTGTTGATGTGGTTGGGTCTTTTGGCCAGTCAGGAAAGGTGGCAGGTGGGTCCCCACCCACGGGATCCAGAAAGCCTCACCCAGAAGCGCCTTTCACGCACGCACACGCAGACAGGCAGACAGACAGACGGGGGGGCTCTTCCTGTCAAGGCAGCTCTAGGTGATTTTAGGTGTTTTTAGTGGAGAAGGTTGAACGTTTCCCTTCGTGCCTTTTGGGGGGGAGGAGCTTTTATTTGCATTTTATTCAAATTTTTCTGGGGACCAACAGGTAACCCTCAACTTACAATTATGCCCAAAATTTATGATGCTAAGCGAAACAGTTGTTAAGTGAGTTTCGCTCCATTTTACAACCTTCCTGGACACCGTTGTTAAGTGAACCGCTGCTGTTGTTAGCAGTAGGCACATGGTCCTTAAGCAAATCTGCTTTCCCCCATGGACTTTGCTTGTCAAGGAGGTCATAAAAGGGGATCGTGTGATCCTGGGACCGTCATAAATTTTGATCACGTGACCTCGGGGAGGTTGCAATGGTCGTAAGTGTGAAAAACGGTCATGTTGCTTTTTTTTCAGTGCTGTTGTAACTTCGAACGGTCACTAAATGAACTGCTGTAAGTCGAGGACTGCCTAGGTACCTATGACGTTCATTGTATTTGTAGGACTTTGCATTTTTAAAAACACTTGAGAAGGTACCTGCCGCTCTGAGGAAGACGGACGGGTCAGAAATAGGAAATATAAATCCATGAAATGTGGCTGACTTGGTCCCACAAGGGAGGCCGATGCGTCGTGGCGCCTGGAGACGGGGCCAGCCTGGAAGCCCGCCTGGGTCGGAGTCAGAGTGCCCCCCCAGGTCCTTCCTGCCATAGGCAGCCCCTCTTTCGGGGCCGGGGGAAGGGCAGCCCTGGGACCCCCGTCCGGCTGGCCAGAGCCACGAAGGGCCTGAAGGAGCTCCCGGGCGTTTATGGGCTACGTTGGCACTTGGAGGCCAGCAGAGAGGCTGCTTGCAGGGCCCCAGTGGAGGTTGTGTCTCCTGGGGGTTTCTCCGTTTGGGGAGGGGGTCTTTGGACAGGGCAGGGATGCTTGGGGGGGGGGGGAAGAAGCCTCCCCATCTGCTGAGCTCAGGAGCGGGCAGGGAGGCACAAACTTTCCCACTCTGCCCCTCCACTGAAAAGAGGCCTTTTATTGCCAGAAAAATCAGCACCCAGAGAACGAATTTGCCCTGCCCTTGGCACTGGGTCTCCCCGTGATCGGCACGGCCCCCCTTTCCTCTGCCCCAAATCAGGCGGCTGTTGGCCAGAAGCCACTTGGAAGAGTCCCCAGTTACCCGGAAGGGGCACCCTTGAGGCTGGCAAGCAGGAACAATGCAGGGCAGCCCAGGAGTGGCCATCCACGCCCAGCTCTCTTCAAGGGCTCTGAAATGCCATTTTTCCCCCCCGCTGGCCCCAAAGTTGTTTCTCTCCTCCCTCGGCTTAATTTAGCAAATGCATCTTTCTTTCTCTTTCTCTCCCTCCCTCCCTCTTTCTCTCTCTCCTGGCTTTAAATTTTATGACTTTCACACATGCTTAACCAGCAAAGCCGGCCACGGCCTTCGCCCGCATGCGCTGGGAGGGAGCCAGACTTTTCCGGCCTCCCTTCTCTGGGTGGCTCCTTCCAAGCAGAGCGGCCCTTGCCCTCTTCCGTGCCCCCAACCCACCCCCCAATAAACCGGGGGGGGGGTGAGGCGAGGGGGTTGCTACCTTTTCCAGCCCAAGCAAGGAAGCTTAGAAGCTTTTCTCCTGCCCAGCTGGAGCCTGCCTGGCGCTGGGATTCTGGGCAGGGCTGATTTGCCTATTTAAAACCCATCGGCTTGCAAGTGGGGCGTTTAATTGGCTGCCCTAATGAGCTCATTAGCCCCACGCGGAGGAAGGAGGGGCACCGTGGAGCTCCAGGGCTCCCCCCACCCCACCCGAAGGAAGGAAGCCCCCCCTCAGCCTCCTTTTAGACCTGCTTAGCTCATTTGCCCCCCAACGGAGTCTCTCCGCCCCCTTTATTGTACTGTCCACAGAGGAGAGCCTCTTGGGGGGGGATGGAAGGAGAGAGACCCCCACATAAGTGCTGGCAAAGGGCCAAGCCTCCCCCTGGGCTTCCCCACCATCCACTTCCCCATCGATGTAGGTAACAACTTACGACCACAACTGAGCCCAAAATTTAAGCCAGACGGTCCCTAGGTGAGTTTTTATGACATTTTTGCCACCAAATCACCAAATTAAGTGAATCACCACAGTTGTTAAGTTAGTTCACCTTTTTAGCTTAATTCACCTTTTTCCATGCTGCTCTAACCTTGACTGGTTGCAAAATGAACTTTTATAACTTACCTGTCGTTGGAGATGCTGCCGGTCTTTTAAATTGTCCCCCTTGATTTGGTTCCCCCGAGGATTGTGCCACCCCATCTTTCTCTGTCTGGGGCCATAATAGCTGGCCAAGCAGCTCCTCCCCCTGAACCCGGGCTCAAGGTCCTCCTGTTTGAAAGGGAGGGCACCCCTGGCCCTTGACCCTCTTTGGAGGGGTGGTCTCAGAGCGTGGAATCGCCCGCAGGCAGACATGCCCATGGGGGGGGGGCACTGGATCTTCCTTCCCCCCCTTGCAGCTGGGCCCACACAGGTCGTCCTCCGGCACTTTCCAGAGCTGCAGGAGTTCTGCGGGGGGTGGGGGGAGCAATATGCAGGTGCTGGGTCAGCATTCCTGGCACTCCGAAGCCCCTGGTGCTCTGCCCGCTCAGGCCTTGCCAGACCTTCTGGGGTGCCGGGAGAGGCCAGGAACGCCGCAGTTCCCCAGAGGGAGGGGTAGAATAGAATAGAAAATAGGAATCAAGTAGAGCAGAATAAGACAGGACAGCAGAAGAGGAAGAGGAAGAGAAGCTGGAAGGGACCTTAGAGGTCCTCTAGTCCAGCCCCCTGCTCAAGCAGGAGAACCTTTCAGACAAGTGGCTGTCTAGAGTCCAGACTCTTCTTGGGAGGCGTTGTTGTTGTGATGTATGAATGCCCAGGTAGGGGGTTAGCTGTAAAGTGGGGGGCACCTTGTTTGCTTGCCAGGAATGGCTGCTGGGGGGTTGGGGGGGTGGGGGTTTTGGGGGATGGGACTGGAGGTGGTTACGTGGTGTGGAGTCCCTCCCTTCACACCCCTCCCCATTGTGGGCTTTCATTTGGGGAGCATCTTAGCCGGCTCTTCTGTGGGCCCCCCCTGTTTCTCACCACCCCTCCAGTGGTGGGATTCAAAAAATTTTACTACCGGTTCTGTGGGTGTGGCTTGTTGGGCGTGGCAGGGGAAGGATACTGCAAAATCCCCATTCCCTCCTGATCCGCTGGGACTCCGGAGGCGGAGAATAGATGGGGGCGGGGCCAGCCAGAGGTGGTATTTACCGGTTCTCCGAACTACTCAAAATTTCCGCTGCCGGTTCTCCAGAACTGGTCAGAACCTGCTGAAACCCACCTCTGCCCCCCTCCTCTTGCACCCCTTAAATGAGCACGTGGGTCATTAAGCAGAACATATGGGGTACCTCTGGTGGGACAGGCCCCAGGAGACTCCCCAAGGCCTCCCCCACCCCTGAGACCTCCTCCGTGCTCAACCTGGTCCAGCCCCTTTAATGCCCTCGCGGTCCTCAAAACAGTGGAGCTGGGTGGAAAAGACTTTTTTTTTTTTAATAATTTTTAATAATACCAACATTTCAACTGGCATGAAAGAGGGAGCCACCTGGGTATAACATTCTTTGTGTGGAAGGAGTTTAAGGAGGGGGCGGATTCAAGCTGGGGCTTGGCTGGGGGGTTTAGGGTCCAGAGTGCGGGTCCTGCTCTCCCCGTCTCTGCCCTGTGCACAGCTCTTCTTTCTCAGGCATCTAGTCCTTGATTGACAACCGTTCATTTAGTGACCATTCAGATTTACAGCAGTGACTTAAGACCATTTTTCACGCTTACGACCGTTGCAGCATCCCCAGGGTCACATGATCAAAGCTCAGATGCTCGGCAGCTGACTCATACTTATGACGGCCGCAGCATCCTGGGGTCACATGATCCCCTTTTGTGGCCTTCTGACGAGTCAACCGGGGGGGGGAGCCCGATTCACTTAAAACTGTGTTACTAACTCAACAACTGCAGTGACTCACTTAACAATGATGGAAAAAGATTGTAAAATGGGTTTGAAACTCACTTAACGACTGTCTCGCTTAGCAACATAAATTTTGGGCTCAGCTGCGGTCATAAGATGAGGACTGCCTGTATTTGGCCCAGCAGGGATGAGGGTTGGAATTTAAGATTAGGCCTATTTTTAGTATTTGGATGGGAGGCCACCGGGTGATCCCACGGTGGTAGGGAAGAACTATAGGTGCAGGAAGCCCCGGGGGGGGGGGATGTAAAAGGGAGACACCTTTAGGGTCACCAGGCGGGAGACGATCCTGGCTTGAAGCTCCGCTGGTCCTCTCCATTTCTGTCTGATGCCCCCCTTGGGGGGCTTTTGGGGGGAGGGTCTCGTGGTGCTGGACTTGCTCCCAGGTAGCCCCTCCTCTGTGGGTGGTCGGCCTTGCAGCCCCCACGGAGCCCCTCTGCCACAGACGGGGTCCCTCGAGGGAAGGGAAGGGAGGGGCCAAAGGCCAACTTTGCATGGGGGGGTGTCCCAATGAGGGGCAGCCGAAGGAAACGTGGGGAGAAGACCCCCATGGGGGTCTTGACGGGGGCTGAACTGGTCTCTCTCTCTGCCTGCCAGCCCAGAGTTTGTGCACAGTGGGGGAAGGATGCCTCTGCTTGGTTGCCCCTCCTGGGAGGGGGGGGGCAGGTGGGTCCATCTGGGGTCAGCAGCAGCTTCCTGGTCCCACGCGTGGGACCCCCCCTCCAATGAGCTTTGCAAGGGGGCTGAGAGATCTGGAGCAGAGACAGGAGTCTGGCCTGAGTGCAGAACCCTCCCCCCCGGGACCCCCCCTCCACCTTTCTTCCCCCTCCCTTCCCCCACGGCTGGAGAAGGCTCCTCCTGCCCCATAGCCCTTCCCCCACTGCTCCTGCCTGGGCAAAGGGAGGAAATTGCTGGAATTCCTCCTTGTGGGGCAGGAGGGGGGCATGGCTTTGGAGCAGGGAGGTCACCGGTTTGGGAGGGGCGTCTGGGGGCAGATGCTAATCCCCCCACCCTCCCCCCAAGCCAGCGGTCACGGCCTCCGTCTCTTGATGGCAACCAGGAGACACTTAGCTTAGGCTGCATCCCACATCCCTGCCCCCTAAGTGGAGGGGTCAGCTGGCCCCCTTTGCACCCTTGGGAGCCCGGCCGATGCAGATGAGATGTTGACCGTTGTGGGGTCTCCTGCCTGGCGGTTGCTCTGGCCGAGGCTTCCTTGGTGGGCAGGAATTGGCTGCCTCTCTTTCTTTCCCAGCGATGGGCATTGTAGTCCCTTAGCCGACCACCAAGCATCGCCAGCAATGGCATTTGTGTGTGGGGGGGTTGCTCCCTTTGCCCCCTCCAGACCTTTTTCAGCATTGAAGATCCATCCAGCTGGATGCTCTCTAGGAATCCCCTGCCCAAATCCTGCTCAGCCGGGTCAACGGTTTGGCCTGCTCCAAGCAACCCCCATCCAAATCAGCCCCTTTGGGGTCAAGGCCCATCCCCAGTGGAAGTTTGGGGGGCGTGTGGGGGGGGCTTGCAACAAAAGTCCCCATTTTGATAGTTTTGGGGGAGATGCAGGACTGACCACAACGAGGCGGAAGGGCTTTGGGTCAGACGAGGTCCGACTGCCCTTCCCCCAACCCTGGCCAGCAGGGCCCACCCCTCACTGTCTCAGCCGGGCCTCCTCCAAAGTGGGCGATTTTAAGGCTGGGGGACTTCGACTCACTGACTGGGGGATTCTGGGAGTTGAAGTCCAGCAGTCTTAAAGTTGTCCAGCTTGGGCATCGCCAGTCTAAGCAGCTCCCCAGGGAAAGTGTGAGGGTTTAGGGAAGGATGGGGGGGGATCCTTCCTGGCCTTGAAACTCCAGGCCCCATGGTGCACTGTTGGAAGGAGAGGCAGCCCCCAGGAGAGGCTTAGCTCCCAGGGCTTCTCCTGGGAAAGGAGCAGGGCCTCCCCTCCTCCCTCCCTCCCTCCCTCTGCTTCTCTCCCTCCTTTCTTTCCTTCATTCCTCCCATCCTTCCATTCCTGTCCTGCCTGCACTCGATGGTTCTGCTGTGTTTGGAAGGGGCCTTGGAGGTCTTCTAGTCCAGCCTCTGCTCAGCCAGGAGACCCTCGACCGTTCTGTCCAGCCTCTTCTTGAAACTCGTCTCCAGGGATGGAGCCCCCACCCTTTCAAGGGGGGAGCCCCTCCTTTGAAGGGGTGTTGAAGCCGCTTCTCTTCTGTCCCTCCGCAGGTCCAACCGGGACTGCCAGATCGACCAACATCACCGCAACCAATGCCAATATTGCCGGCTGAAGAAGTGCTTCCGTGTCGGTATGAGGAAAGAAGGTGAGGCCAGCCGGTGGGCGGCGCTCGGGGGGGCTGAAAGATGGGGGGGGACTGGCTACTCCCCAGGGAACTGAAGCCAGAAGGAGGATTGTGGGGGGGGGGTTTAAGATCAAAGGCCGTCTGGCACCAGGCAGAGCCACGCTGGATGCTGGAGACACCCCCCCCCCTCGTGTCACCCTCCCCCACAAGGACTCCCAATTGGAATAACCCCCCACCCAGAGGGGACTCCCTGCTGAAGCTGCAGTTCCAGCCCCTGCCAGCAGAGGGGATGGCCTCTGGGGAGGTGCCCCCATGGGTATCTGCAGAGTTGCTGTCAAGTGGGGGGGGGTCTCGGGCACTGCTTGGGCTTCCAACCGCTTCGTGGGCCCTTTCTGGTTCTCCAGCTCAGGGTGGGATCTGGGTGGGGGAACGAGGACTGCAGAGGTCCATCCTTGGGTCCCTGCCCAGCTGAACCGCCTTCCCCCCAAACCGTCCCCACCCCCACCCCAACATCGCACAGGAGCACCAGCCGCTGAGCGCAAGGGGAGCCGGCGCCAATCGGGCAGCCCAACCTCCCGCCTTGCTCCTTGGACAAGCCGGGGCAGGCCTCCCCCCACTGCCCTCCGGGAATGAAGTCAGACTGGCTGAGAAGTTCCCAGGCAGCCTCTTCTGCTGGGGGGTGGGGGCCGGAGGAGACCCTCCCCTCTTTGCTGGAAGAGAGCGGCTGCCGGATCAGTTGTCCCATGACGAGAGAGAGAGAGATGGTGCCCGGACAGATGCCCTCGCCAGGACAGGCCTCTGCTCCGGCCAGAAGCTGCCTAGAGGACAGTGCCCCCTTCCCCGTGGCCCCCCTCACCGCACCCTGATTGCCCTGCAATCCGCCCCAGATCTCGGGGGGCAGCTGCCCTCTGCCTGAAATTCAGCATGATGGTGATGATGGGGGGGGAGTCTACAGGCTGACCCCCTCCCACCACTGCTGGTGAGGGATTGGATGGGAGTCTGGGTTAACTAGGGGGCAGTTGCAGCTCAGGTGGGACAGTGTGGCCCCTAAGAGATGTTTTGGAGCCCTGGATTTGACCCCCAGCGTGGACCGGGAAGTGCCAATGAAGTGGTTGAGGTCCCATCAGTGCCCAGGTCATTCCTTTCGTTGCTGCCCCTGAGTTTGCCCACAGCCCCCCCACCCGGGGGCCACCAGGTTGCAGAAGAGAATTCCAAAGCAGAGAGGGGGAACCTCTCCTCGTAGAGCCTCCTTGCTTAGGAGCACAATACCTTTGAGGACCAGCTGTCGAGGAGAGGCCAAGGGGCAGGAGGGGGGCGGCACTAGGGCACGGTTCAGAGTGGGGGCAGGGAAGTGCCCGGCTCTGCCAGGGAAGGACCGGTTGAGCAGGCCTGCCAGGAGGGCACGGCACCTGTGGGGCTGGGGCGGGGAGGGGCTCACGTGACCCAGCTGGGGCAGAGGTCACAGCTGGAAAACGAGGCCAGAGGTGGGGAAAGGCGCCAGGTGGCCTCGGGCCCTGGCACCTTTCCCGGGCAAGCAGCAGCAGGCTCTCTCCTTCGGATGCCAAATTGGGGCCAAGGGGCGCCTTACCGCTTGCCGAAGCCACCTTGATGGGAATGGGGGGGGGTCCCAGCACTGCCCACCCCACCCCTGACCCGCCCTCTCCCTCGCTTCCTCCGCACAGCCGTCCAGAGGGGCCGTATCCCCCCCAGCCACGCCAGCGCCAGCCCCAACGCGGTGCAGAGCGGGGACTACTACAACGGGCAGCCGGTCTCGGAGCTGATCTCGCAGCTGCTGCGGGCCGAGCCCTACCCCAGCGCCCGCTTCAGCTCCCAGTACGCCCAGCAGGGCAGCGTGATGGGCATCGACAACATCTGTGAGCTGGCCGCCCGGCTGCTCTTCAGCACGGTGGAGTGGGCGCGCAACATCCCCTTCTTCCCGGAGCTGCCCGTCTCGGACCAGGTGGCGCTGCTGCGGCTGAGCTGGAGCGAGCTCTTCGTGCTCAACGCCGCCCAGTCCGCGCTGCCCCTCCACATGGCGCCCCTGCTGGCCGCCGCCGGTTTCCACGCCGCCCCCATGTCCGCCGACCGGGTGGTCTCCTTCATGGACCAGATCCGCATCTTCCAGGACCAGGTGGAGAAGCTCAGCCGGCTGCAGGTGGACTCGGCCGAGTTCAGCTGCCTCAAGGCCATCGCCCTCTTCACGCCAGGTCAGCCCCGGGGCACCGGGAGGGCACTCTGTGGGCGTCTCTGGGCAGGCATGTGCGTGTGTGTGTGTGAGAGAGAGAGACTCTGCCTCCCTTGCCGGACTCTGCGCTCTCCCAGCGCCGCTAGGCCTCGACTTACGACCGCCGTTGTGCCCAAAATTCCTGTGGCTAAGCGAGACGGTTGTTAAGTTGGGGTTTGGCCTCATTTTATGACCTTTCGCTTTTTGGAAGGTCGCAAAAGGGGATCGCAGGACCCCGGAAGGCTGCGACCGTCGTAACGATGAGTCCGTTGCCAAGGGTCTGAATTTTGACCACCTGGCCACGGGGGATGCTGCAACGGTCATAAAGTGTGAATCACGGTCATAAGTCGCATTTTTCAGTGCCATTGAACGGTCCCTGTTGTGAGTCGAGGACTACCTGAGAGCCAGCTTGGCTTGGGATGGCTGGCCCTGACCCAGATTCAGCCTGGGGTAAACCAACTGCTCCCACCCCGTCCTTTGGGGCAGGTCAGTATTGAAAGTCCTTGACTTGCGACCCTAACAAAGTGCACCCAGTAACGCTGTGAAGTCATGACACCCGCAAAGCAGAGCATCCCATGACTTTTTGGATTTTACAACGTCCATTTTGCAACGGTCATTAAGCAAACCCATGGATTGCTAAACCTGGGAAAAAATGCAGTTTTTCAGCAAAAACTGAATTGCGGCCATGTGAGTGGGACGCAGCCAACATCCATCGATGTCAGACGATTGCCGGCCCCCAAAATGTGATCCCACGAGGGGGGGGGCAGTGGAGGTTTGGAATTGGGTCATTGGCACCTCTTGGGAGAAGTCATCGTGTCCGTCATAAGCCGAGGACTGTCCTGTCTTCTCTCCCTAGCCCAAGGCTGCCTGTCCAGAGGAGCCCCTGCTGCAGGGCCTGGTGGGGTCGCAGCCCCCTCCCTCTCGGCCCCCTCACCTGGGCACTGGAGGGCAGAGGCTGGGCAGGGCCCCCTTGTGCTGGCCGGGGAGGGTCTGGGCAGGGTCTGCCCCAGGAGGAGTGCGGGTATTCCTTGAATTATGACCACAATGATGGTCATAAAGCAGAGGTCACTATGAGTCAGCAGGAGCCTGGGCAGGGCAGATTTGAGATGGGGATGATTCGAACTAGGATGATCAAAGGCTGGAGACAAAGACAGGTGAAGGACGGTTGCAAGAATTAAGTTTGGCCACTCTAGAGAAAAGAAGGACCTGGGGGGGTGGGACGACGGATAGCAGCTTTCCAGTATTTGAGGGGCTGCCCCAAAGAAGACGCCGTCACCCTCTTTTCCAAAGCCCCTGAAGGCAGGAGAAGAAGCAACGGAGGGAAACTAATCAAAGAGAGAAGCAACCTGCAATGAAGGAGAAGTTTCCTAACGGGACAATTAACCAGTGGAACAGCTGGCCACCAGAAGTTGTGGATGCTCCAACACTGGAGGTTTTAAGAAGAGGCTGGACAGCCACTTGTCAGGAATGGCTCCTGCCTGAGCAGGGAATTAAACGAGAAGACCTCCAAGGTCCCTCCCAGCTCTGTTCTGATAGATAGATTAGATAGATAGATAGATAGATAGATAGATGATAGATAGATAGATAGATAGATAGATAGATAGATAGATAGATAGATAGATAGATAGATAGAAGAGGCCAAAATCAAGTTGAGTCCAGTTCTAAGAAAGAGAAGCCTCAATCTGGCCCTGCAGCTTCATTTTTCAATTTTGCATTTTGGTTTAGCTGAAACTAAAGAAGGATGTTCATTCGGGGGGGCGGGGGGGGCTTCTTTGGGGCTTCCTCATCCCCCCACTCCCAGCCTTGGATTGGGGGGAGGGGAATGGGGTGTGCAACAGTGACACCCTGTGGCCAAAGAGAGGTGATGCTCCCAGGCTTTCTGCAAAGGCCCTTTCGCTGAGAAGGTTTGGGGGCTTCTCAAACGTCTTTTCCAGCCCCCCCCCCCAAACTGCTCTTCAGGCAAAGAGAGGGGCAGCCCCAGGGAGGATTCCTGGCTTTGTCTTGGCATCTTCCTGCCAATTCTGGTTCTCTCACTGTCACTTGCCAGCAGGGTGCAGAGTATTGGGGGGGTGGGGGAAGCAAAGGCAGCCCTGGGGGGGCGCCCTGCCTTGGCTGCCTTCTGCCCCTTTGATCAGCCCTTCCTAAAAGCTGTTTTCCTGCTGCCTGGGAGGCTTTTGGGGGGCTGGAGCAAAGGGGGGCTGCCTTCCCTGGCAACCACAAGAGTGACCAGCCCTCCTCCAGCCGCTTTGCTGGGCAGCCTCATTGGCAGAGGCAGCTGGCACTTTGTGAGTGGCACTGGCCCCCCCCCTGGCCCCCACCCTGCTTGGCTCTTCCCAGCCCAAGGAGGCAGCTGTGGCAGGCAAGGCCTTTGTGCCCCTGGGCTGCCAACACCACTCCAAAAGTCCCGGTGGCCGAACCGCTTGGATTGCCGTTTTTCTCTGGTAGGTTATTGTGTGTATAACTCCCAGTAGTGTCAGCGCCTACGGCCGGCCTGATCCGGCCTGGCTCTCTGGCACGATCGGGAGACAAGGGGCCGCTGTTGTGACCCAGGCCCAGGTGGTTGATATTAAATGCAAACAGTTCCAAAAAACAAACAGATTTTATTAGAACAGCTGAGAATTAACTCATTCTCAGCGTATTCTAAATGAAGTGAAAGCAAATTCTTCAAAACACCATTCCTCAGCCTTATCACCAACCTTGGTCTACTTTGGCAACCTGCCAAAGGCTTTTCTTGACAAAAGAAGTTCAGAAGCAGAAGACACCGACAAGAAATAAATACAGTGAAACAAGAAGCAGATTCTCTCAACTGTTGTTTTCCGGCAAAGAGCCCAAGAGCCGTTGCTGGTCTTTTAAGCCTTATGGGAGGGGCCAATCATCTCTTGGCCTTACTCCCGAGTCGTCCTCTCTGCTTTAGCTGCTCCTGCCTTCTGGCAGCTCTTCTCATGCGTGCACTAGGAACAGGCTTCCCCTATTCCTCTGCCTCTCTGCTGTCAGCCTCTGGAGGCTCCGGAGTCCGCACATCACTCCCCGATGGCCCCGTCCCCATCTCTGCCCTCATCTGGGCTTTCCTCAGCCTCCAGGACTGGCCCATGTTCCTCCTCAGCCTCCTCACTGTCCAACTCCGCTGCCAGCTCCGCAGGCTGCTGGCGGACCCCAACAGGTGCCCAGGTCGAGTCAGAAGCCACCCGCTGGATCCAGAAAGGCAATCAAGGCCGATCTCTCCATTGGGAATTCAAGCAATGAAGGAGAATATTTATAGCTCCGGGTGGAACTGTGGGGTCCCTGGTGCTCCCTGAGCTTGGTGGTTTTCTTGCAGACATTTCATTATCCAACTAGGTAACGTTGCATCAATGCTAGAAGGGAGTGGGTTTACATGAACAAACCACCACTCCTTAGTAGCACTGATGATGTTACCGAGTTGGGCCATGAAACGTCTGCAGCAAAACTGCCAATATCCGAGAGCACCCAGGACCCCTGAGTACTCAATCTTTTGCAAAGAGACCATGAGGACGAGAGTGTTTCACAGAGAGCCGGAAGCCCACTGCAGAGGGAGCAACTGGGGCTGGGGGCACGTGGGGACCCCTGCGGCTGCCGGCTCACTTCTTCCTCTTTCCTGCAGACGCCTGTGGCCTCTCGGACCCGGCCCACGTGGAGAGCCTCCAGGAGAAGGCGCAGGTGGCACTGACGGAGTACGTCCGCTCTCAGTACCCCTCCCAGCCCCAGCGCTTCGGCCGGCTGCTGCTGCGGCTCCCTGCACTGCGGGCCGTCCCGGCCTCCCTCATCTCGCAGCTGTTCTTCATGCGCCTGGTGGGGAAGACGCCCATCGAGACCCTCATTCGGGACATGTTGCTCTCCGGCAGCTCCTTCAACTGGCCCTACGGGACGGGGCAGTGAGTCCGGACAGGCGGATGGACGCTGTGCCCGCGGGCCTCCTTGCAGCCACCCCTCCCTCCGGCCCCACCGAGACTTTGGAGGAGGGCCAGTTTGGCTTTTGTGGGACCCCCTTGGGAGGGGCGAGGCTGGAGAGCCCCCCCCCCCCCCCCCGCGGCTGAGAACAAAGCCCACCCCCAATGCCAAGAGAGACCCGAGGTGGGGCTGCTTGGCTTCGTCTGTTTCTCCCGGGTTGCACGCCAGCCGTTTCTGTGCCACACGTAGCCGGAGGAGGAAGAGGAAGAAGGAGGCCTGGGGGGGGTCGGGGGGGGCTCTGGACCCCTCCCCCACCTGTTTGGTTCTTCCCAGCATTCGCATCAGCACCTTGAAAGGGGTGAGGAATGGCTCCCCGGCTGTCTGGGCAGCTCTCCAAGGGCCTGGAGAAGATCTGCCACGTTTCTACCCCCCTCATTTCTGCCCTCAGGGGGGGTGGGGGGACGAGGAGGGTCCCCAAACAGAGGGCAAGTCGAGAGTGCTTGAAAAGGCCCCTTGGTGGTGGGGGGAGGGGGGCAGCTGGCTTGCAGCTCCCCTTTTGTAGCTGCAAAGGGCCCTTTTAAGGAGGGGCCCTGTCCTGCCAGGTTTCGACTGGCAAACTGGTCCTGGCCCCCCATTTGCATGGTTTCCTCATGCAGGTTCCCCCCCCCCCCCGGACCCTCATCAAAGATTGCCCTCCCGAGGAAGCACCAAAGAGAACGGGCACTGTCTGAATGCTCCCCAGGCAAATGCGGGGGAAGGGGATGCCCTTCTGTGTTGGGCCTGGCATTTGGCCCTGGGCAGCCGGGGGCATCAGCTGAATTGTGGCCCCTGCATTGCAGAATTTGGGGCCCTTGTGAAGTGGGCTGCAGAGGGGCGGGGAGTGCCCTGGCATGTGCCCCGGCCTGGATCCTGGCCTTCCCCAGTGATACTCCTCCCTCTCCCGAGGGCCACGGGGGCCCCCCCATGCCCCTTTGGTCAGGGACAGCCTCTGCCTGGGCAGGTCGGTTGCCCCTGCTGGGGAAATCCCCCTGAAGAAGCCCTGGTGGAAAATTGGTCCTGCCAATTAGACGCTGTTGCTCCTCTTCCTCGCCTCCCCCCTGCCCACCTTTTAATTTCTTCCTCCCTCTTTTCAAAACCCGCAGTGGACACTCCCCCCTCCCCAAACACCAGGCTGTGCCAGCTCCCACATTTGTGAAGATGCTATGCAAAACATTGGCCTGCATGCCCCTGCCAGCCACGCGTGGCCTCCCTCCTCGCCCGCCTTGGTGTTCCGGTGACCATCGCCGGATATCAGTTCAGCTAACATCTGTTTGATCACTTTGTGGCCTTTTTTCCCCTCTTTTTTTTCTCTTCCCTTCTGCTTTCCCCTCTCCGTGTGTGTGTATATGACGGTCTCTTCAAAAAGCGTGTGATGGAAATTCGCCATTAAACCCGTTTTGCAGACAGAGGAAACTGAGGCCACAAGGCCGGCTTTTCTTCAGTTGCCGAGAGTGGTGGGACTCGATCTCAGGTCTCAGAAGTCTAAAGTACCGATTGTAATCTATGCAAACTTTCTCTCTCTCTCTTTCTCTCCCTCCCCACTTCTCTCTCTCCAAATTCCGGATCAAGGAAGCGCCACTTCTGTGCTTGGAATAAAAATATTTGGGTATCGGATGTGATTTATTTTAGCCTGGTTGGGCGAGGGGGGCCAGTCGAGTGGCAAGAAGGGGGCAGGGAGGCTATAAGGGCTGCCAGTTGCTGTAAATCCTGCTGGAAGTCCCCTCCCTCAGCCCTTCCCCAACCCAAGGTTCATCTTCTGTGGGATTCCAGGGCCCATCAGCTCCGTGGAAGATGGTTTTTCTGCTCCCCCCTTTAGCCAGTGGGCAATGGGGCCAAATGTCAAACCGGTCTGTTGGATCCTTGGAGGGGGGGTGGCATGGCCTTCTCTCTCAAGCCAGGTTCTGGAGGCTCCCCGGCTGCATCAAGAAATGGGGGGGGGGGTGTTTTTTATGTTCCTGTTGGAAGGATGCCAGTCTGGATCCGATGGCCCCAATTACAAAAAGAGAAGAATGTTCTATATTTCTTTTATCCGTGTGTGTGTGTGTGTGTGTGTGTGAGGGGCCCCTGCCTCCCACCCTATGGGGCCCATCGCCAGACCTGCCCTGCAGCCCCCGTCGGAACGAACTCTGGGCTGGGGTCGGAAGTTGCCCTTCAGAGCAGCCGTGCCTGCCACTGCTCCCTCCTCGGCTTTGCCAGCGAGGCTCCCTTCCCTGCAGCATGCCAGCCTGGCAAGGCCTGATCCTGCCGGTTTGAATTCTGTGCCAGAGGCCCCCTTTGGTGCCCCTGAGCCGGCTTTGCTCTTCAGGAGAGGCCTGGCCTGGCAGGAAGGCTGTTTACAGCCCAAACCTTGAAAGGCTGCCAGGCTTCCTCGCCATCTTGTGCCCAGTGAAATACTTTCTTGCCTCGTGAACTCCCTGCTCCCATCAGCCGAGGGCTCCACCCCCCCAACCCCCCCTTCTGCTGCTTTGGGGGTCTCGGTGGCCCAGCCCCACCAGCAGCAGAGGGAGCCGGGGCAGTCGCTTGTCTGAAATGGTCTGGGGTCTCCTGCTTTGGGGGGGGGTTGGGCTAGAAGAGCTCCAAGGGCCCAACTCTGCCATCCTGTTATTCCTTGCCCTGTTCTCCCAGCTAAGCCCAGAGGCTGTCGGGGGCCTTTGCCACAGCTGGTGCCTTGGGGGCCCCTCGGAAGCTCAGGGCCCAGAGACCAGTTCTAAGCGGCTGTGATGGGGCAGCTACGTTGAGGGGAAGCCCGGAGGGAGGTAGTGGTAGCAGTGCCCAGGTGTCCTTGGGGGTCCCAGGCAGAGATTCTGGGGAACACTTTCACACCTCAGACATTGCTAACAGTCAAAAGAAGAGAATTTTCCCCATGTTTATTAAAGGAATAGCTTCACTCTGGGTTTCTTTAAAGGTCTGCCCCCTCCCCATTTTCACAATATATACACCCCCCCCCTCAATGGACAGATCCTGCTGGGCTGGGACTTTTTGGGTGGGGGGGGAGGATTTCTCCGAAAGCAGAACTCCCGGGGTCCTCCCACCCCAGGAGGGCGCTCTGGACCGTCGGCTGCCTTTTGGCAGCAACAAGAGGCAGAAATGCCATCTAGGGTGGCACTGCCAAGCTGGAGCAAGTTTCCTACTGCAGAGCCTTTGGGGCAGCAGCGTTTGCCAAGCAGACACAGGTTGGCACAAGGGAGGAGGGCAGGCGACAGCCAAGCGTGTGGCTCTGCCCTCCTGCTTCCTTCCTTTTTCAGATGCCACTTTTGAGCAGTTGGGGGTGCAACCCCTCCCCCCCAATCCAACAAGCAGGATTTGATTCCAAGACCTTCAGCGCAAAAGCTTTCCTCTTCTTCAAGGGGCCAGAAGGGACTCTCTCCATTGTGGGGGCTTTGGCCTCACTGCACACTTCTGGGGAGGGGGGGTTGTTTCCCCAACGTGATTTGCCCCAAAGAGAAGCCCCCAGGGCAATCCGGTTCCTGGCCACTGAGTCCCCAAAAAAACCCCCCAGAGGCCACAGAAACAGAGTTTGGGGTCGGTGCCCACTCTCCTCTGCTGGCCCAAGAACTGGAGGCCAGCTTTTTGGCACGAAACGGGAGAAAAAGGCATCAGCATAAAAAATAAGGAAATCTACAAAAACACACAAACACACGGACTGGCATCCTCGTCTGTTGGAGGGGGGCACCAGCACTCGGGCACCCCCAGAGTCTCGGAAGGGCTTCGCCAAACGTCCCCAGGCCCAATCGAAAGGAGGGGGGGCTGCTTGGCAGATCAGAGTCCGTCCTTCTGGGCCCCAGGAGGAAGCTGGGCCTCAGCCCCTCTCATGGGGGGGTGGGGTGGGGCCTCAGCCGCGGTGCTTGTCGTATTCGCTCACCATCTTCTTGATGTGGAAAAGCTTCTTCCTCAGGGACTTGGTCTCCATTTTCTTGCTCTGGTAGTCCGGCGTCTGGCATGGGGGGGGGGGGGGGGAACCCTTTGTAAACAGAACCGGTTGCCGCCCTCCCCCCCCCCCCCCCCGAGAGGCTGGCAAAGATAGCCCCCTCTACAGCCTACATCATCCCCAGCCTTGGTTCAGGGGGCATTCATGCCAGGGGTGAAGTGCTCCCGGTTCGGACCAGATCGCCCGATCCAGTAGCAATGCTGGCAGGTGGTTCAGAGAACCAGTAGCAAAAATCCCTGCCCCCCCCCATTGCCCAGCTGAGCTGCACAATCATCAGAGGCTTTTTTTAAAAAAATTTAAAAAGCATTTTTTCTACAACCTCTTTGGCCGAAAAAATGCTTTTAAAAGTAAAAAAAAAAAAAAAAGCCTCCGATGATCACGTGGTTTCAGCTGGGATCATCAGAGGCTTTTAAAAGCATTTTTTTTTAAAGCCGAAGAGTTTGTAGGAAAAATGGTTTTAAAAGTTAAAAAAAAAAAGTTGGCCATGCCCACTCAGTCGTATTACACCACACACACACCGAGCCATGCCCACAGAACCGGTAGTAACAAATTTTGCATTCCACCACTGATTCGTGCCATCCCCAATCCGGAGCCATGCGGAGTGGAGACTTGGCAGACGCTGCTGTGCCTCTAACCGCAGACAAGTGGCAGCTTCTGGGCACCGAAGGTGGGGCCAGAGAGGGCCTCCTCCGGCTGAGACTGGAGCTTCACCACTGGAAGCTTTCCAGGAGACCCCGGGCTGCCATCCGTCGGGTCCCCGGGGGGGGGGGGGGGGGGTTGGACTAGATGACCCACAAGGTCCCACTTCCCACTAACAGTCTCTGTATTCTGCTGTGGGGAGAGCAGCCTGGATGGAGAGGAGTCTGCCCAAGCCTTGAAGGAGCTTAGCAATAACCCCCAGAAAGAGCCCCCCCCCCCAACTCATAGAAGTCCTCAGTTCGTTTAGTGACCGTTCAAAGTTACAACGGAACACAGGACCATTTTACACACTGACGGCCTTTGCAGCACCCCTCTGGTCACATGATCAAAATTCAGACTCTTGGCAACTGACTCATACTTATGACCGTTGCTGAGTCCAAGGTCACGTGATCCCCTTCTGCGACCTTCTGACCAGCAAAGGCCCTGGGGATTCACTTAATGACTGTGTGACTCACTTATCAACTGAGGTGAGTCACTTCACCAAACGTTTTCCGCTGCTGTTTTTGTACGATTTTATGACGCGCAGAGTCACTGAGGCGTTTGATAAGTCAATAAAATGAATAAATACGGTCGCCTTGGTAACGGATCTGGGCCCCTCCCTCAAGGGCAGAACCTCTGTGGGCTGCCAGTGTGGGAGGGGCAGATTCTCCCGAGAAATGTCAGCTGGGACCCCCCCACACCTGAAAAAACGCAGAATCCGAACACAGGTCTCCTTAGGCTTCCTTTGCAGAAATGAGAAGGGGGGGTCTCTTTTGAGCCCTGCAAAGGCCCCGCCCTACTGCTCCCCCCTCTGGGTCCCAATTCTGGAGGTGGGTTGGGGGAAGGGAAGAGGCCCGGGGGGGGGGCTAAGGGGGAGGAGCTATGTCTCTTCCCTCCCCCACTGCCTTTCGATTGAAATTAGACCACCCATAATGGCAGCCCTTCAGAGCCCGGAAGGCCGGCCTGCTTCTCACAGGGCTGGGCCTCCCATCGTCCCCAACCCAGGCAGTGTGGCTGGGGCTGATGGGGCAGCCGGGCAAAGGGACTCACCCGCTTCAGCTCCTTCAGCCGGTTGTACTCCTCGGCCACGCCCTGCCAGAGAAACACCGTCATTGGGAAAGGAACAGACCAGGGGACACAAAATGGAGCTTCCAAGTTCAGGAGCAGTACAACTCAGAGCCAGGCAGGAACCTCCGTGGGAGCTGTGGTCCACTCCAGGAGCTGTGGGGCTGTTGAAGCACCCACTGGGGGAGAAGGGGCTGCCGGAGTGGGGGAGGGGGCTGGAGGAGCAGGAGGGCAAAGGCAGCCTGCCCCAGACATGGCCCTCAAACGCTCCCCCCGCCCCAGCTTGCAGCTGGCATAACAGCAGCTGCAGGGCATCCATGCAGGAAGCTGCCATGCAATGGAACAAGCTTTTCCTCCATGCGGGTGAAAAGACGGGCACCTCTGGCAGCTCAATTCCACAGGCAACGAGCCAACCCTCCCTGGTACTGTTGGGGTCCCTGGGAGTCCGAAGGGATGTCTTGGATAGGGGCCCCTCCCTTTCGCCACGGCAGGGCCGGCCCTGCTCCCCGGGGTTCCCTTCGGCTGGGTGCCCACCTGGTACTGGAGTGTGTCCTCTGGCAGCTGGTCCAGCTGCCTGCTGAGCTGGTTGATCTGGTCGTTGATGCCATCCATCTCGCCACAGAGCCTCTTGTAGCGCTTGAGGTCGGTGTCAAAATCTTGCTTGTATCTCTGGCGAGCATCGTCGGACGTGATGGGCGGGTAATGGCTGCAGGGAGATGGCGGGAGACGCTCAGCCACAGGCTGGGGGGCACCAGGGCACCCAAGACACACCCACCCACCCCTTAGTCTACGCTGGCAAGACTGGCAAGGGGCCTGGGGGAGGGCCAGGACAGAGGGGGGCTCCCTGCAGGGCCCAGTCTGCCAGTCCCGAGTCGGAGGACACCCCAGTAAGACTAAGGGTCTGTTTCCCCAAGGGGCTTCCTTCCACAGGGAGATTTAACAGGCACCCCAAAATTTAGATCGCCCACAAACGGTGACCTGTCCAATTCCCTGCCCTCTTTTGGTGCCAACCTCTCTCGCCCAGCCCATTGCCCCCTGAAATCCTCCATCAGCCTGGGCTGCCCTCCTGGATCCCCACCCCACCCCCTCCCTCCCTCCCTTCCGCCCTCTGGGCCTTTGCTCCCTAAAGGCCCCTGCCCAGCTCAGTGGGGGTACAGGGGGACCCCCCCCCATGACTCCTCTCCCTTAAGGAGAGACCTTCCTTCACTCGGGGGTTGAACGTGGCTCTGTAACCCCCAAAGGCTGGGCTGGCAGCTGCTCAGGCAGGAGATCCACATGGGGGGGTGGGTGTCCCGCCCTGTAAGCCCCCGAATTTCTCACCCCTGGATGTTTAATCGGAGGGTTTGGGCTTCACTTAATGATTAAAAAAGGAAAATCCATCACTGTTATATGGATATCGCATCTTTGCGAGAGAAATTGCTCCCATCCCATCCCATCCCTCTTCTGTTCTGTTTTCTGTTCTGTTCTGTTTTCTGTCCCTGTCCCGTCCCGTCCTGTCCCATCATATCAGGATGGGACTCCCTCGGAGGAAGATGCCAGAGGAAACCAGATGCTCGGCCGATTCCTCCAAATGTTTCATTATATAGGTGGTCCCCGACTTACGACCACAACTGAACCCAAAAATTCTGTTAATGTGAGACATTTGTGAGATTTGTCCCATTTTTGACCTTCGTTGCCACAGTTCTTAAGTGAATCATAGCCGTTGCTAAGTTAGTCACAAGGTCGTTAAGCGAATCCCCCGCTGACTCTGCTTGTCAGGAGGTTGCCAAAGGGGATTGCATGATCCGGGGAGGCTGCGACCACCCTAAGTGCCAAGCCTCTGAATTTTGATCCCATGACCACGGGGACGCTGTGACTGTCGTTAAGTGTGAACAACGGTCATAAGTCACTTTTTTCAGGGCGGAACGGTCACTAAACGAATGGTCGTAATTGGAGGGCTACTGTTAATGTGGCAACTGCTCAGGGAGGGCTGTAAAAGCCCTAGGAAGCGGCATATAAGTCTAAAGGGCTACTGCTATTGTTAAGATGAGGGGCCTCGCATTTTTGCAGAGCGTTTGGGGAGGGGTCCGGCTTCAGTCTCTCCAGCCCCTCCCCCATTCCAGCCCCCTTCCCCACAGGGCCCCTCACCTGCCCCACTCCTCCGGCTCCTGCTCGTCACTGGAGTCCACAGCCGTGGTATAATCGGTCTCGTACTGGGGCTCCTCCAGGTCGGGGTTCCTCTGGCGCCCCCTCCGGCCCCTCTGGGTGGGGGGCTTCCGGGGAGTCTCCTCCCAGGTGCTGGAGCTCAGCGTCCGGATGCGCTTGTCCAGGGGGGGCTGGAAGGGAGAGCTGGGGGGAGGCAAAGACAGGCAGGAAAATCAGCTCCACCAAAGGAGAGGGCACCCGGGCGGGAAGGGAGGATTATTCGGAGGACCTCTGACTGCACTGACCCCCCCTCCCCCCACTTATGCCCCAGTGAATCATAGAGCATCCTAGTTGGAAGGGACCTTGGAGGTCTTCTAGTCCAGCCCCCTGCTCAAGCAGGAGTCCCTGGAGGCTGTCCAGTCTCTTCTCAAAAGCCTCCAGTGATGGAGCCCCCACAACTGTGGGAAGGAAACTGCCGATTGTCCCCCCTGAGGAACTTTCTCCTTAGTTCCGCATTAGACCATGGAACGTAGAACATAAGCAATGGGATGGGATGGAAACCTAGAATGAGCTGGAGGGGACCCTGGAGGTCTTCTAGTCCAGCCATGGTTTGCCGTGGGGAGGGCGTGTCTGCCTGATCTGAGTCCAAGCATTCTCATAATGGAGCCTGCCCACTACGGCCGTAACTCGCGACGGTCGTAAAGCAGATCATGGGAGAGAGCCAATTGTACTGCCTTTTTTGCAGCCGTTGTTCAGGGAAGACGGTGGTCATAAAGCTGCTACGGTGGTCATTAAGCAAGCCTAGTGGTCATTAAGCGAACCCATGGGGGGGGCCTATGGGCCAGAAACCGAAAGAGAAGGCTGGGGTTTGGCTAAACCGTCATAAATCGCAGTCATGTGACTGAGGGACGCTGCAAACGGCCATAAGTGGAGGCCGGTTGATGAGCGCCAGAAATGTAAAACGGACCCAAAGTGACCTGTCGTAAACCGAGGACCACTTGCGATGGCTCTTGCACACAATGCCCTCTCCGTCATTCCCTGTAGTCCCACGGGAAGATCTGGGCTGAGTCTCAAGACCGGCCAGGGGGGAGTCAGGCCAACTGGGGGAACCTCCCTCCACAGCCACCAGCCGGTACAGCTCAATGGAGCCCCCTTCTCCAGGAGCAGTCTACCACTTCTTAACATTAGACAACACGAGACAAAGTAAGAGAAGATCTGCTCGTGGCTCCGCCTGATGGGCTCGAGGGCTCCTCCTCGGTCCATCGTCCCCAGTCCTGGCAGCCTGTAATGTCTCTCTGCCTTGGGTGAGTTTAGGGGGACAAGGGGGGGGGTCCAATTGGGTTCCAAGGCTGGGACATTCAGTGGAACCTCCACAGGCAGCTGCAGTCTTCCTCTGGCACTAAAGACGGCCTTGCCAGGAGGGGGGCCAAGCCCTGCCGCCCCTTCCTCCTCCGGGGGTCCCCTTGGCCCAGGTGCTGGGAGACCCTCACCTGCTCCGGACAGCCATGGAGTAGTCGGCCTCGGTGTAGCCGGGGGGGCTGGCGGGAGCGTGGAGAGGGCTGGTGGGCTTCTCCGAGTAGACCAGGGTGGCCGTGTCGGTGGGGCTGGCTCGGCCATCCACGTTCTTCACCTGCAGGGGGGCAACGGGCACTTCTCAGCACCCCTGAGGTCGGGCTCCAGAATGTGACCTTCTGACCTCCACCTCTCCCGACCTCCCGGTGAAACTCCGGCGCCCAGAATCCCCAGCTCAGCTGGCTGTAGCAGAGTCATTCAGGATGTCCGGTGTCCCCACATGGAGCTCCCTCCATTGGAGGCCCAGGGCTTAGCAGGCCCCCTCCCCAAAAAATGATTCCCCACCACTAAGAGGGCAGCCCAACCCCAGAGAAGACGCAGCAACAGCTGGAAAACGGAGGCAGGGAGGAGGGGGGCCCGGGATGGGGGCCAGAGCTCACGGGAGCAACATCTGGCAGGCCGGACTCAGCCACCCACCCGGGCCTTCCAGATGCCCACTGCGGAAGATGTCCCCCCTGCCCAGCCCCCACCCCCAAGATTCGGCTGGTGCCTTCCTGACCAAGCTGGCCTCTCCTTCCTTACCACCCCTTGGCTGTTGCGGCCACCCCACAGCTCCACCCCCCTGGCCACCTCCAGCCCCCCGTGCCCATGCCTGCAATCCCACCCCTAGGAAGGATGTGCCAGCCGGGGGTTGTGCTTGGAGCCAGCGTGGCAAATGCCACAATGCCACCTTTTGTGGTTCAGCCCTTCCCTGCCCACCTGAGCAGGGGGTTGGACTAGACGACCTCCCAGGTCCCTTCCACCTCTGGTATTCTGCCCACCCAACCCCCACCAGCTGACCCTTTGCCAGAGGGAGAAATGGCACGGCTTCCTGTGCTCCAGGCTTACAAACAGCTCCCTACTGCTCACGTGCACGCACACACACACACATGCACACACACGGTCCTCCTCCCTTCCGGACGGCCCAGCCGGAGGCCAAAGTCCGCAGCCGAAGCCACCCTCAGAGTTCAGCCCCCCGGACAGAGGCAGCTCCTGCAATGAGGGGCAAACGTCCACCGGGTGGAAGGCTTTCGTCTGGGGAGGGGGAGGTCCTGCCAGGCCCCACAGCCACCAGTCCGGCCACCTGACACTCTGGGCCACAGCAAGGGCTCCTTCGGCCTCAGCGGTTAATCATTGATACAACCGAAACCAGAGAAGCTAAAAACAACCCTGTGCACTCTCGATCACACACACACACAAACGCACACACACACCCCTCCGGTGCAGGGGGCAGGCCTGTGAACGTGTCGCTGGAGATCAGAATGAGAAGGGCGGGGGGGGGGATTATGGAGGAATGGAGGGAAATTCATAGTGGGGAAAATGGAAGCGGAAGATTCCTAAAACCAAGAACAGGAAGAAAAATGGCCGGGCATTTTCTCCTGAGCTCAGTTAGGCAGACCAGGAGCAAGCGAGGGAGGGTCTCTGGGGGGGGCTCCCTTCCTAGTCGGGGGGCTGCCAAGTGGGCCCTGCAATGTCACCAAATGTCACCAAAAAGCTAAACTCTGGGGAACAGAATAGCAGTGCCGGAAGGGTCCTTGGAGGTCATCTAGTCCCATCCTCTGACCAAGCAGGAGACTCTATGTCCATTTCGGACAGATGGCTGTCCAGTCGCTTCTCAAAGACCTCCACGGATGGAGCATTCACAACGTCTAGTGGCAAGCTGTTCCACCGGTTAATTCTTCTAATGGTCAAGAAATTCCTCCTTGGCTCCAGCTTGCTTAGTTTCCAACTTAGAGGCAGAGTTTGCAATGGGCATTTTCCTCCCTGCCTAGGCAGGATAAGTACCAGTCACGGGTCCCAGAGGAAGCCCCCCTCCCCAAAATGATTGCATTGCTTGTGCGAGGAGAGGCCCCCTTGATCCCTTCCGAGCCTGGCCCAGCTCAAATTCCCAGCCCGGAGGATGGCCGGCACCGCCAGAGCAACCAGGGGGCCAAGGACGGCCACCCCTCACCAGGGCTGGGTGGGGGACTTTGCCCCTGCTCCTCTCACCCATTCCTCCACGTTGGGACCCTCCTCCTGTGCTGGGGGCCGGTCCCAGTAAATGTTTTGCTTCCCAAACCGCCAGATCTTCTGCCGCGTCTTGTGGGCGAAGAAGCAGATGACGCAAAGCAGGATCACCAGGAGGAAGCCGCAGACGAATGGGGACGGCCTGGGGGGGGGACAGAGGGAGAGAGTTAAACCCCTTCCAGGTCTCCCTCCCCTCCCCCAAATTCCTGAAAGCAAAGCATGGCTCCCTCCCCCCCATCCGAAGGCTGGTGTTCCACACCAGGGTCTCCACAGAGGAGTGAGGGTCTTTCTCTGCTGAAGAACCTCTCCACAGAGCAAGGAGAGACCCCCCCCCAAAACACCACCTGGCCAGGCCTCCAAAGGAAGCCACAGAGGACAAACCAGGCAGTCCACGGCACGATGGCACACGTGAGCTCACAGGCCTCTCGCTGCCTCCTTGCAGGTCGTCCCACAGCTGTGCCCTCAGCCCCACAGTCCTCAATATGCCCCCGCTTTCCTCTGGGGACCTGTTTTGGGGGGTTGGCACCATTCCCTGTGCATCCCCCCCACGAAGCCTTTTGGGATTTCAGGGCACAAAAAAAACCCACTAAGCCAGGTTGAAAGCTGCGCTTGCTATGGGAATGTGAGAATTGGGGGGGGGATCAGGGTGCCGGGCACCAAGAATTCCCCGAGGGGGATAGCTGAAGCAGATAGGAAGAGGCAGGAATGGGGGAGGGGATTGACACCCCCCCCCCCCCCCCCCCAAAGCCAAGCTTCCTTGCCTAAACCTGAAGATGATTTTTCCACCCGGCCCGGAGCATTCCCAAAACCACCCAGCCCTCCATGGCCAGATGCAGGTCAGCCCCCTGGGGGGCCCCCCAAACCTTCTTCCCTCCCAGGCCAAGAGGCCTCCCGTCACCCCAAACATAGTCTGAGCCGGTCAGTCCTGGGATGGGACACCACCAGGAAACCCAGGGAGTTTAAGTTAAGCTAGGAGTCAATGAGGAAGCCAGCAGTAAAGCTGCACATTTTGGTTACGTGGTGTCTCGCTTAATGACCACGTGGCTGGTCCCAATTGCTGTGTTATTAAGCAAAGACTAATCTGTTGCTGCTATAAAGTTGGCAGATACGTTTCCTTCCCCAGAAGCCCCCCGAGGTCTCCAAACCGAGGCTGGACTGTTATTCGTCTTCCAGCTCTACGAGGGGTCCTGAGGAGGGGTCTTCACCAGGGCTGGGCCAGGAGGGCAACTTTAGGACTTCAACTCCCAGAATTCCTCAGCCCACTGGTCCTAAAAGTTGGCCCGTTGCCCGCCCGCCCACCCACCCACTCCCGGCTCTTGAGGAAGGAGCAGCCTTGCGCCCGTCCACCCAGGTGATTCACGAGCCCAGCAGCCACTTGCTCAGGCCGGGCAGGCCAGGTGGCTGGGCTGGAGGCCCCCGGGGCGTATCTTGTTTGCTCAAGTGGGCAGGTCCGAGAGTGCCACCGCCGTGCCCGGCCCACTGATAAGCCTCCTGATTGTTCTCGCCTGAGCCCGAAACCGATTTCCCGATAAGCCCTTCCGCTCCCTCGCTCGGGAATAAGAGTCGCCCCTGTTTACATACACACACACACACACACACACACACACACACACACACACACACACAGCCCTTGGTGGCTTCCGGGGTTGGCTATTCGGGACAAGCAGGTGATAAAAAGAGAGGTGGTGAGAGACCGTGTCCGGCAGGCAGTGGGGCAGTGAAGGCCAGCCTCACCCAGAGCGGGCCCTGTCCTGCCCGAGGTTCAAGGGCTCCTGCCCCCTGGCACCACCGTCCGGTTGCTGGGCCGGTTCAGCCAGAGGCAGGGAGGGAGGGAGGGAGGGAGGCAGACCCTGGGGTGGGGAGGGGGCAATGGCTTAGATTAAGTTGGCCAAATCCGGGCACTGCTAAGTTCTATCTAGCATGTAGGTGTACATTAACCCATAGAGAGTGGCTCTAGTATTATTTATCCTTTTATCACCTTTTTCTTCCGCTTCTACTTTGGGTATTTTCATTGTTGTCATTGTTATTCCTCACTGATTATCCTTATGATCATTTTCATTAGCATTATCGCCTCCATTATTTTGCAAGCACCCGGAGTCTTTCTGTACCAGACACAAATTCCTTGTGTGTCTAACTCCACTTGGCCAAATGAAGCTATTCTTCCCTATTCTATTCTGTTCTGTATTCTATATTTCAGAATAAAAATTTCCTGACGGTGAGAACAATAAAGAGGGGCTTGCCTTCAGAAGTTGTGGGCGCCCCAACACTAGGAGCGACTGGACAGCCATTCTATTCTATAATTCTATAATTCTATTCTAAATTCTGTTCTGTTCCGTTCTACCCTATTCTTAGCCTGGGCCAGCACGGCTTCCCCACCCACCAGCCGTGGCCCCAAGAGAAAGCAGGACCACAAGGGCCAGGCAGCCCCCCCTATCTCACTCCCCCATCCCATCCCCCAGCCGGACTCTTACCTCCTGGGGGTCCACCATGCAGTAGTGGTAGAGGTACTGGTTGTAGTAGGCTCCCCCGGCGTAGACCTGGTTGCACATGGCCAGCATCGGGTTGGTGGAGTAGTAGCTGCCCCCCATCTGGGCCTGGGGATTGACCCCCATGATGTAGACGATGGAGGCGATCAGCATGACGAAGGCCATCAGGGCGCAGACCACGAGGGTCACCAGATAGAACCTCCTGGACCGGGCCCCGGCAGACTTGGTGAGGCTGGTGATGGCCAGGGCCAGCAGGGCGATGAAACACAGCACCGACATGGCGATCATGAAGCCGTTGGCCGCCCGGGGGTTGGTCATGCCCCCGTAGTAGCCCCCCATGCCGTACCCACCGTAGTAGCCACCCAGGCCTCCGCCGTAGCCGCCCAGGCTGCCGCCATAGCCTCCGCCGTAGCCCCCGCCGTAGTAGCCCCCCATGGTGTTGCCATAGAACCCCCCATAGCCGTACTCCCAGACCAGAGTGGAGGCCACGCAGGCGAAGATGGCCACGCAGAGCAGGATGCCCAGCCCCTCCAGGATCCTCACCACGCTGGGGGGGGAGGTCCACTTGTAGAAATACTGGGGCTCATCCTCGATGTAGTAGGACCCCGGGGGGGGCGACTTGATGGGGTACCCGTAGTCGTCCCCAGGCGGGCCGTAGCCGGCAGGGGGGCTGTCGTAGGACTTCTTCGGACTGAACATCCTTTGCGCAGAATCGGGGCAGGACCGGCGGAGGAGCCCCAGATGCTACGGCCGTGGGGGGAGTCCCAATGGAGCCCCGTCAATATTCCTGGAGCTGCCCAGAGGCTCCTGGACCGTGTCTGGCTGGCACTGCCAAAGGAAGAGGACAGGGAAGGTCAGCGTTGGGCAATTCTTGCACCCACCCAATGTTAGCTGAACGAAAGCGGCCGTCTCCCAGGCCGACAGCAGCAGAAGTCATGGGGGAGGGGAAGAGATTCAACCTAGACCTCGCCCACAAAGGTCAAAGGCAGCCAAGGATTTGAGGGCCACCCGGGCCCCAGAAACCTCAACCGGCACATATCAGGCATGGTGCGTTGGGATCATTAAAAAGACCTCTTCTTCCTTACGTTGTTGGCACATCTAGCGGTTGTGAAAAAGAGGAGGAAGTGGAGGGAGCCACTCATCCCTTGGTGACTGTGGGGTTATTCCCTTCCCTGTGTCCCAAAGAAGGGAGCACAGATACACCCCCCCCTTAGGCTGCCAGATAAGACAGGCTGACTCTCCGAGTTGACCTTGGCTCCAGTGACTTGGCCGACTGATGGGCTGTTCCCGGCCTCTCTCGATGGGTTTGCTGGACTTCCTGGCTGAGTCTAAAGCCCCAGGGCGGCTCTCAGCCAGGCTCCAAAAGTGAGGAGGTAGAGAGAATCACCAATATTTGATCCCAAAAACAGGAGGCAGTGACGCCGAAATTTCCCGCAGCCAGGGGTGAAACCTACTTACCTTCCTTACCGGTTCGGAAGTGCACCTATTCGGCCGAATAGGTTGTAAAAAAATGCTTTTAAAAGTAAAAAAAAAAAAAAGGCTCTGACGATCACAGCTGTGGCGCTCGATCGTCAGAGGCTTTTTTTAACCTTTTAAAAGCAGGAAGTAATGACCCCCGGGTGGGATGGCGGAGCCTTGCGGTTCTCCGAACCACCTGCCACCATCGCTACCGGATGCCTGATCTGGTCTGAACCGGGAGCATTTCACCCCTGGGTGGGACCCAGCTGCTCTTCCCTGCCGCCGAAAAACTGCTTCCCTCTAATGCTGCCAGAAGTTTTTACACAGCAGAGAAAATCCAGCCATCCAAATTCAGCGTCCGATGATAACATTACAAAGTGATCTTCATTCGAGTCTATTAGATCTACCACTGACCTCCTGCCGGCGGCTGCTTGCCTAGTTTTTATAAACCCCGCCTGATCACCCTTCCTTGCAAACAGTCTCGCTGGCTGCCATCTATTTGTCGCACTGCTGGCAAAGGCCAATTTGTAATGTTGTCATTCGATGCTGTCACTTGGAGGGCCGAGGGCGTCCTGGGCTGCCCCAGACTCTGGGCTCTGCCTGCCACCTTCGTCTCCCTGAACCGAGAAAGGGGGAATGTATTAAATTTGCAGTTCAGACAAATTGGGGGTGCCAGTTTTTTTAGATTGGTGTTTCTTGGCCACTTTAAGATGTGGGGACTTCAACTCCCAGAATTCCCCAGTCAACCACCTCAGATCCTGGTTGGCCACAGATAAGCACAGGAGGCAGCAGTGGGGGCAGCTGCTCTTTTGGGGGGCCACGAGAGCCAGCAGAAGGGTTGTTCCCCGAGTCTCCAGCCAACTTCTTCTCCATCACGAAATCCAGTGAGGTGAATCTCCAGGAGGAGGAAATTCCTGGCAGGGACGGCTGTCAATCAGCGGAATTGGCTGCTTCATGACATGGGAAGCCATTGTGTACTGGCAGGGGCCAGAGTAGATGATCTCTGAGATCACTTCCAGAATAGAGAATACCAGAATTGGAAGGGACCTCGGAGGTCTTCTAGTCCAACCCCCCTCACTCAAGCAGGAGACCCTAAACAGCTGTCCAATCTCTTCTCTAAAGCCTCCAGTGATGGAGCACCCACAACTTCTGGTGGCAAGCTGTTCCACTGGTTGATTGTTCTCACTGGCAGGCAATTTCTCCTTAGATGTGGCTGAAATGCCCAGCAAGCGCAGCCTCCGAGCCTGGGGTCTCTCTGCTGCCCATTCCCACCATGGCACCGGGGGAGGGGCCGTCTTGCAAAACGCAGCTGCATCTCTCCATCCGAGGCCTGTGCGCCCACCAGGAAGTCCTAACTACAATGGGGGGGGGACACCCAGAGGCTCCTACTGGGAGGCTGCCCAGATTATGCCACCTCATATTTTGGGGAACACAAGACTCGGGGGAGGGGGAAGGATGGGCTTTGGATTGGGAGGACATGATGGCAGAATTCCAGTATCTGAGGGGCTGCCACAGAGAAGAGGGAGTCAAACTATCCTCCAAAGCCCCTGAAGGCAGGAGAAGCAGCAACGGGTGGAAACTAATCCAGGAGAGAAGCAATTTAGAACCAAGGAGAAATTTCCTGACAGTGAGAACAATTAATCGGTGGAACCACTTGCCTCCAGAAGTTGTGAATGCTCTAACACGGGAAGTTTTTAAGAAGAGGTTGGATAACCATTTGTCTGAAGTGGTGTAGGCAGTGGTGAAATCTAAAATTTATTACTACCGGTTCTGTGGGCGTGGCTTAGTGGGGGGGTAATCTGACTGGGTGGGCATGGCCTTTATTTTTTTTTTAACTTTTAAAATAATTTTTTCTACCACCTCTTCAGCGAAGAGGTTGTAAAAAAAATGCTTTCAAAAGGCTCTGACGATCCCAGCTGTGTTGCCTGATCGTCAGAGGCTTCATTTCTTTTAAAAGCCTTTGATGATCAGGCAACTCAGCTTGGAGGCTCTTAAAAGCATTTTTTTAAAAAATGCTTTTAAAAGCATTTTACGATCCCAGCTGAGCCGCGCGATCATCAGAGGCTTTTTTTTTTAATTTTAAAAGCATTTTTTTTGCCATAAGAGGTTGTAGAAAAAATGCTTTTAAAAACTAAAAAAAAGCCCGATGATTGCGCGGCTCAGCTGGGCATTTGGTGGGGGTGGGCAGGGATTTTTCCGAACCGGGAGCATTTCACCCCTGGGTGTAGGGTTTCCTGCCTAAGCAGAGGGTTGGACTAGAAGACCTCCAAGGTCCCTTCCAGCTTCTGATTGACTGATTGATTGATTTGGGTGGGTGAGGGGAAGGAGGAGGGGTGTGCCGAGTGCTGCTGCCCTGCTTGGCAGAGGGGCAGAGATTCACCCTGCATAGTGGCCTCGTCCCCTCCAGTGCCAGTCCCATGAGACTGAGCAGGGCCCATCCCCCCCCCCATCCCTCCTTTCTACTGCAGGAGCTCTGGACACACTTTGCTCACTTTCCCAGGGCTGGAGGGGAGGGGGGGGCTGCTTTCCCCACCTGTCGCCCCACCTCCACTTCCTGGCCAACCCGGCGGTTCCCAGGGGATCCAGCTGCCTCACACCAGAAGGCCTGCCTGCCTGCCAAATCCCTCTGGTCCGCTTTGCAACTCTGTCTCCGGCTTTCAAGGTTGTTCCTGGAAGCCAGAAAAGGAAGACAAAGGTCCTGCCTCTCGCTGGCTCAAAACCAGGGAGGGTTTTTTTCAGCCAGGCAGCTGCCCAGGAGCCCCTCAGCGCTTCCTTCCCTGCAGCCAACGTGCCTGCGAGGTGGGCTTCCTCTGCCCCCGCCCCCTGCCTAACCACAGACCTTCCCCCAGCTCTGTGGGTTGAATTTTAAGGCAAGAGGCAAGTCTGAAGGGCAGAGTTATTCTGTGGCCAGATGGGCAGCCAATAAACAAATGTTGGTGCCAGCCACAAATAACCGCAGCCAAGCGGGTCCTTCCATCAGGACGAGACGGCCCCACAGAGCCCTGAAGGGAAGGGACCCACTGTAGGGCTTTGCCAATTCCACCCGCGGTCACCGGGCTCCTCTGGGGCTCTGTGGGGCCCAGCCTCGAGATTTATACTGGAGCCTCCTGTCTGAGCCCCCAAATCATCTCTTCCTGCCAGACCCAATCCTGGGCAGTTTCTCCAGAGTAAAGGGCTCCCTTCCTCTGTCTGGGTCTCTGCCCCCAGCCCCAAGGCCCAGAGGCTGGGCAACCGCCCCCATCCAAGGGAGGGAGCATTTATTGTTTCCACTTATCACCCTTTTTGCAGATTCTCCCCAAGTGTCTCCATCTCTGGGTGCCTCTTGCAGGGACACCAGGAAGCACCAAGGTTACAAGCGAGTAAATACAAGCAAGGTTGCACTTTAACCCATAAATGGGGGTCCTTTTGATTCTGATCAATCATCAGAATAGAGCTGGAAGGGACCTTGGAGGTCTTCTAGTCCAGTCCCCGCTCAAGCAGGAGGCCCTAGTATACCATTTCAGACAGGTGGCTCTCCAATCTCTTCTTAAAAACCTCCAGTGGTGGGACACCAACTTCTTGTGGCAAGCTGTTCCACTGGTAAATTGTCCTCACTGTGGGGAAGTTTCTCCTCAATTCCAAGTTGTTTCTCTCCTTGATTGGTTTCCATCTGTTGCTTTCTGTCCTGCCTTCAGGGGCTTTTGAGAATAGCTTGACACCTCCCACCCATCTTCTTTGGGGCAGCCCCTCAAATACTGGAAGACTATCACGTCCCCCCTAGTCCTTCTTTTGTCTAGACTGGCCAAATCCAAATCCTGCAGCCGTTCTTCATATGTTTTAGTCTCCCGGCCCTTAATCACCTTAGTTGCTCTTCTCTGCACTTTTTCCAAAGTCTCAACACCTTTTATGTAACATGGTGACCAAAGCTGGAGGCAGTTATTCCAGGTGCGGCCTTACTAAGGGCTTTATCAAGTGGTTTTGATTCTATGCCTCTGTTTATACAATCCAGGATTGTTATATTATACAGCCCAGGATCAATCCAGGTTTTCTTTTTTGCATAAAGGGAGGACTGACTGAGTGGTGGGTACCTGGGAAAGTCTCTCTGAAGGAGGCCAGAAGGAAAAGACCCCCCCCCAAACTGTGGGGCGCCTAAGGCTGGCCTGAGAGCAGAGGCTGTGAGCAGGGCTGAAGGAAGCCTTGCGTGGAGAAAGGGCCCATTCAGAGGCGACAGGTGAGTGAGCAGAAGCCAGGGGGGGAGGGGAAAGGAGGGCAACATCCTGCCAACGCCTACAAAACTGAGCTTTCAGGATGAGGAAAAGCCCATTTATATTTTATTCTCCCTGTTTTAGCTATAAAATTGAATGTTGTTTTCATGGACACAAGCAGGAGAGATTTATTATTCGGTTTTATACCTGGATTTGTACTTATAATCTTAACTTGTGCCGTGTCTTTTGGGTTGGGCACACAATAAAAACCGGAAAGGAAATGCCAAGCGCTCCCAGCCCAGAAAAGCGGCAGAGCCACCGAGAAGCTGCACCCCAAATCCGGCCTGGAGGAGCTTAAAGGACTGTGCAAGGCAACCAGAAAATCGGGGAGGGGGCGGCAACGGGATTCCCTGGCTGAGGGAGCCAAGGCCCCCCCTCCCCTCCGCCGTGGGAAAGAGGGAAACTTCCCTGACTTGTAGACTCTCCCCCCCCCCACTTTGGCGGAGCCTCCAGGCTACAGAACGGCGGCTGCCACCTGCTGGCATCGCTAAGCCCGGAGTCTCCGGCGGGGAGGCTGGCAAAGCGAGGGAACTTTTCTGGCCGTGCCTGGCTGGCTCGCTTGGGGCCCGGCCAAATTCCTGCGAGCCACACCGGCGCTGTGGACGTGCGCGGCCGGCTGTCTTTGGGAGCCCCCCGCCGCTCCGGTGCACAATGCCTGGCGGGGCCGGGAGCTTCTGCTCCGTCCCGGCTGCGACGGCCGGCCGGGGCCGAAAGGAAAGAATGCGGGGCGGGGAGGAAAGAGAAGACGGGCGCCTCGCCTCGGAGGGGGGCTTCCTTCCCTTACTCTCAGCCCCCCCCAAGGCCACCTGGGCTCCAGCAGCGGCGGCGGAGAGGAGCCGCTCCCCCCACGCCCGTCCTCCGCGTCCCTCGCCTCCTGCCGGCCTTGGCCCTCCCCGCTGCCCTCCTCCCGCTTCTCCGGGCCCAGGACGGGAGGCGGCGGCTGGGTTCCCTCCGCCGGACAAGCGGCGGGCTCCGACTGAGCTGGGCTCCCTCCGCCGAGGAGCTTGCCCGAGAAGGAAGGGAAGGAAAGGATGGAGCGGGCGGGGGAGTCCTGGGCGCCTCCAAAGCCCGTCCGAACTTGCGGAGCCCCGCCGCCTCCGTCCCCGAGGGAGAGCCCGCTGGGCAGGAGCCCCCCCGCGCCCCTCTCGGCCTCGCCCCGTCCCGGCCGCTCCCCACCGCCGCGCACCTGCCGCCCCGCCGGCCTCACCTGGCTGCGCCCGCGGCCTGCGGGCCCTTCCTTCGCGCAGGACTGGAGGCCTCGGCGCCGGCGGCGGACTGAGGGCGAAGGGGCGGCTCCGCGGCCCTCCTCCTTCCCACGCCCCCCGCCCCGCCCTTCCACCTGCCTGCCTCCCGCCCCGCCCCGCCCCGGGACGCCCCTCAGCGGGCTTGGAGCCGGGGGAGGGGAGGGGAGGGGAGGAGCCCCCGCAGGCAGCCCGAGCGCTGGGCGCCGCGGGCCCGGCCGGTGGGGGCCAGGAGGGGCCTGGGGCGGCGGAGCCTCTCCCGGGGGGCCCCCAGGACTGCCCCCAAGCAGCGCTCCCGGAAGGCTGGGCCTCTGCGGACCCCCGAAAGGCCGCCTGGGCGTGATGGGCGCCGCAGTCCAAGAGCTCCGGGCCGGGAGCGGCCGCTGCAGAGGCGGTCGGGCAGCGGCGGGGCCTCCCGGGGCCGTTTCCAAGGGCGCCGCGGGGCTCGGCTCCTCCGGGCTCAGCGGCCAAAGGCGGGCGGGGGCGCGGCGAGCGTCTCCGGGCGGCTTTGCTGGCGGAGGGTTTGTCGAGCGACCAGGAAGGAGGCGGCCCGTCGGCTTCCCTCGTTCCCCGCTTGGGGCCCCGGAGGTCTGGAAGGCGGCCCCTCCCCTCCCGCCCGCAAAGCCAGAGGCGCAGCAGCTGCAGTCAGGCTCCCAACCCTCCACACACACACACACTTCTCCCCCCCCCCTTGGTTGCCAAGGGTTGAAATCCCCCGCTGGCTCCGCTTCAGGCTCGGCCAGGGGAAACCCAGCAGCTGCCCCATACAAAGTGGGAAGGGCCAGACAGCAGGGACCCTCCGTCCTCACCCCACCTCCTGCCTGCCCCGGATTTTATTCGGAAGAGGCCTCTCATTTGGAGCACCTGTGAGTCGCCAGAAGCCCCCCAAACTGCCCCCCCGCCCGGCCCCCCCCCCCCCCCCCCCCCCCCCCCACCAGTCCAGCCTGTCTCCTGGGTGGCCTCTGGGGGGGCCGTTTTTCTTTCAGCAAAGATGAAATCGCGCAGAAAGTCATTTTGGTCTCCTCAGCCCACTCTTTATTCTCGAAAATTGGTGCGAGGCGCTGCACAAGATGGAAACGGGGCCGGTTCTGTGCCCCGAGGCTCCGGGGAAGAGCCCCCATCTACCCCCCTTTTCCTGTTGGGGGTGGGCGAAGGCATAAAGCCCCCCAAAGAGCCACCTTCAACCTGGGGAAGGAGCCTCAGGACGGATGGGGCAGCTGCCCATGGGGGCTACATGCAGGTTGCTCCCACCCCACCAGGAGGGCCTCCACCCCATAGAGAGCTTCCTCCAGGAGGGCCCCAGCGCTCCCCATAGGGCAGCTGTCACCCCTGTGAAGGAGCCCCCTCCCCCCCCCTGGGCGGCTCTTCCCCCTCCTCTTCCTTCTTCCCCCTTCCCCAAAGGGCTGCTGGGTCTGCCATCCGATGTCCGAAGCCCATTCTCCACGGCCGGGCTGGTCTTCAGGCCCCTCGTCAAAGGGTCACGGACGACTGGCTCCGGTCAGCGTCAAAGGTCTGGATCTGAGCCTTGAGGTGGGAGAGCTTCCTCCTCAGGTAGTCACAGCGCTCCTGTTTCTCCAGGAAGGAGGGGTCCTGGGGGGAGGGGCAGAGGGAGGAGGAGGGATCTTCAAGCTGGCACCAAAAGCATTTAACCTTCCTCATTTTAATCTATTGCAGGTAGTCCTTGACCTACGACCCCAACTCATCCCAAAATTTATGTTGCTCAGCAAGAGTGTCATTAAGTGAGTTTTGCCCCATTTTACAACCTTTCTTGCCATGGCTGCCTGCAGTTGTTCAGTTAGCAACATGGTTGTTGAGTGAATCTGGCTTCTCCATTGCTAGTCAGAGGGTCACAAAAGGGGATCAGGTGACCCCGGGAACGTTGCAACCGTCATAAATGTGAGTCGATTGCCGAGTGTCTAAATTTGGATCACGTGACCACAGGGAGGCTGCAGTGGTCGTAAGTGCGAAAAACGGTCATAACTGCCTTTTTTCAACACCGCTGTAACTTTGAATGATCACTAAACAAATGTTTGTAAGGATTGCCTCGTTTTATTTTATTTTTTATTATTTTTAATAAATCATTTTTATTATTCTTGTAGGCTGCCCAGTTGCTGTGAGGTGGGAGGGATATACATTTAATAAACAAAATAAAAGTGTTTTTGAAACCGAGCCTTGCACAATCAGGACTGCCCTGAAGGGGAGGGGGGGCACCGAGCAAACCCCCCACTCACCCCCCAGGGGGACAACTCTTGGGCGGCTTCCCTTGCACCCTGTTTGTTTCCTTTCTTTGGGGTGGTCTTGTAAGCTTATCTCCCCCTCCCCCCAGCCACAGCTGCCCCCCACCCCTTTTAGAGGCCTGCATGGAGGGGTGTTTGTTTACAGGGCTGGCGTGCCCCCCCCCTGTCTCATGTACAGGCAGTTCTCGACTAACAAGCATTCATTTAGCAACCGTTCAGAGTTGCAGCAACATTGAAAAAGGTGACCTGTGATCGCTTTTCAAACGTGCAACTGTTGTTCGGGGGGGCTTGTGTTCCACACATTCAGGGTCTGCAGCCCCTCCCCCCCAGACCCAAACAGGCCAGGAACGACGGCCTTTGGCCCTGCCACAACCTGCCATGGGGAGAGTGAGGGGAAGGAGGGCTCCGCTTGGCCCCTGCAGGAGGAGACGAACTCAGTGGGGCAGGCAGCTCCCACACCACCAAAGAGACCCCCACCCCATGAAACCTCAGCTGCTGAGTAACTGAGAAATCCCCCCCCCTTACCTTCTTCTTGCCTCTGTAGGCCCTCCAGACAGCCGAGACACGGCTTTGCTCCTGCAGGGGGAAAAAGAGGTTTAGCCCAGAGAGAGACCCTCCCCCACAACTGCAGACTCAGGAGGGGAGACAAGGATTGTCTTGGGGATGCAGGCAACCTCTTTATTCTGCGGATGGGCTGGCAATCTGGACATCAGGGCATCCAGCTCTTTAAATCTCTGCCTCGTGGCGTGGATTTCGCGGACGAGAGCCTGGTACTCCGGATATTGATCCTTGAAGATGGCCGTGTACTTCTCACGCTCGGCCGGACTCCCGATGGCCGGGTACCTCCTGTCCAGAGGAGAGAACCGGAAGGGTCAACAGGAAAACAGCCCCTGATTTGGAGAGACTTAACGGCAGTTCTGCAATTGTCCCTGTCTGAGTGTCAGGGAAGGGGGGACCATCTGAGATCTCCCAGAGTGACCCCCAAAGAGCTTGACACCGCAGCTGGTTGCAGGCAGGAGTATTGAGGGCAGCTCAGCAGAAATCGGGAGCTGAAGAAAAGGCTGGAATTGGGGTTTGGGCAGAGCCCAGCCTGGCTGGCATCGGTTCTGGAGGTGGCCATCCTCGCCCACGTAGACTCCTTCCTTCCAGGGCACCCCGAAACATTCCCCCCGGCAGACCCCGGATGCAGGGAGGGTTTGAAAAATTAAGGACTTGAATAGCACATCTTGATTTTGGAAACCCTGCCGTGGACGCCTTTGGCCGTAGCATCCAGGGGTCTCCAACCTTGGCAACTTTAAGGCTTGTGGACTTCAACTCCCAGAATTCCCCAGCCAGCTAGTGAAAAGCTGCTGAAATGAACAAAAGGAAGGGCAAACCCTCAAAGCTTTTTAAGAAGAGATTGGATACCCATTTGTCTGAAATAGTATAGGGTTTCCTGTCTAAGCAGGGGGTTGGACTAGAAGACCTCCAAGGTCCCTTCCAACTCTGTAATCTTGTCCTGTCCTGTCCTATTCTGAATTCTATTCTATTCTAAAACGTTCCCTCTCCGGTACTTACACAATGTAATCGGGGACGATAAGTGGTCTGGGGTTATGCCCCACCGGGATGGCGCTGTTGAGGACTTCTGGGCCTCCTTCCTCGTAGAACACGACGCGCCTGGAGCCCCGGCCGGCTGGACGTCCCTGGGCCCGGGGGGTCCTCAGGTGCTGAGGAGAAGCACCTGGCAGCAGAATCGGCTTCAGCTGTGGGGGGGCCAAGAGACCAGGACACCCCCGTCAGGAGGAGAACAAGGCCTGCAGTAGCCCCAGGCCTTTTCTCCCCAAGGGTCACGTTTGCTCAGGAGGAAAGGGGGGAGGAGACGTCCCCAGTTCCTGCCCCCCCCCATTGCACTGAGTACCCTGGGAATTTTTTTAAATTGAATGGAATACTTTTATTTGGCCAAGTGTGATTAGACACACAAGGAATGAAACATTCTCTGGTGCAGAAGCTTCCGCGGTACATGCAGAGGAGGAGAGGAGGAGGAGGAAGAATCCCGAGGGAAAGAGTTGGAACAATGTATGTCCAGGATGTGAGGGGCCTGCAGGCGTCTTCTCGGCCCTCCTCCTGACCCCCGCAATATGCCCCCCTCTCCCTCTGAATGCACAGTCTGTGTCCTGGGGGAGGGGGAGGGGGAAGGGCTGCTGCCCACTTAGGTCTCTTCCACCTTCCTGAGGATTGCAACCTGGGACCCCTGCAAATGAGGCAGAGGCTCCCCCACAAGGCGGAGGTTTCCCCCCCAGCTCCATCCATGCCCTCCAGCAACCCTTTCACTGACCTCCCCCTCCCATGGTGGTCTTACCCGGAGCAGCATCCTCCGGGCCGCTTCGTGCCGCCACATCTTGAGACACACCAGGGAGCCCGTCAGGTACAGCAAGGGGGCAAGGAAGAGGAAGGTCAGGGCGGCCACTTGCCCCCCTTCAACCTGGCACAGAGCCGTGATGAGGGGGCCGTAGGCAAAGGCCGAGTAGCAGAGGCCGCCCCGGTTGATGTCGTGGACGTAGGCGATGGCGGCCGCCAGGTAGAGCAGGAACATGGAGAGGTTGAGGGCAAACTCGGCCAGCGGCCACCAGTGGGAGTTGAGGAGGATGGCCCGGTAGTGCATGGTCACCCCCAGGGCCAGCAGGATGACCGTCAGCAGCCACACCAGGCTGGCCACCACCAGCACAAACGGGGTCATCGGGACGTAGTAGCCGTAGTCCGTTCCGGTGAAGCTGTTGCCATAAAGTTGGGACCACTGATAGTCCTTCTGGATGTAAGCCGCGGTGCAAGCAAAGGCCATCCCACCCAAAATGAGCTCCAGCCCCCCAAGAAGCCTCAGGAGGCCAGGCCAGGATTTCAGGTAGCTGTATTTGCGGTCGTAAGCCCCCAGCTTCTCCTCATATCCCGGTGGAGCTGCGGAGGCCCCTCCGTGGCTAGTGACTGTCATGGACTTTCCAGACTTGGAAGAGGTGGTGGCATCTGAGGGGGGTTCCTTACCATCTTCCTCAGTCGTCTTCTCGCTACTGGTGGAACCATCCTCCCCAGCCAAGCTGGTTCTCTCGGGACCCTCCAGACCTGGATTTGCGGGTGGGGAGTTTGGGAGCGCTGAGGAGGGGGCCAAGGGAGAAGGTTCTTCTCGGGACCGTCTCCCAAAAGTGTTCCTCCAGGACGGAGGGAAGAAACGTCGGATGGGCTTCAGAGAGGGCACTTCTGGGTCCCGAGGGCCATCAGGGAGGGCTGGCTGGGCTGACCGGTGGGGGGGACCTTGGGGGGAAGCAGCTGGAGAGCCGGACCAAGAGCGCCATCCAGAACTAGGCGTCCTTGGTGGCCCTGGATGGAGAGCGCTGGAGGGAAGCCATGGGTCTGCCCCCAGGCCCCCCAGAGGCTGCCTCTCTGCCCCAGCTGAAAAGGGCTTCTCAATGGTTGAGCCCAGCATCTGATCCCCCGGAGTCTCTCCTGGGAGGGGTCTCTCTCCCCCTCCCCTCCTCCCTCACAGCTTGGCCGAGCCTTGTCTTCAGGGCCGGGAGCAGCTGATTTGGAAAAGATAAAGAAATAGAAATGGTGATCCTAGCTGGGAGATCTTTTCTTAAGCCCAATCAAATTAACAACAAAAAGAAAGAAAAAAAGAAAGAAATTAGCCTTTTTGGTGAAAGCGTCCATTAAGAAAAGGCTAAAAACTTCCTGTATCAACTTTTAACTTTTAATGTGTGTTTTTAAATGTGGCTTTTACTAGTTGGACTTGGAGCTAAACAATGGAATTATGACGCTCAATTATATGATGGTTACTGTCCCAAGAGGGACCCCCCCCCCCCCCCCCACCCCTTCAGGGCAGCAGAGGGCAGCCAAGGCAGGAGCAGAGCGGGTATTGATGCCCTTTTGGTAGCCTCCCCCTCCCTGCCACTGGGGAGGAGGCCAAGGGCAGCCAGCACTGGACCTCCAAGCCCCCTTTCTGGGGTGACCACAGGACACCTCCCTCTCCTTCCCAGACCCAGCCCTGCCCAAAGGCCCAGAGAGGGAAGGGCAGCTGGCAGTGCCAATCGTGCCAATTATAAGATGGCTCTCGCCTAGCTCTGCCTCCGGCATCTCCCGATGGACATCAGGCAAAGGCCAACTCCGCTGGCTCTGCTGGCTGCCTGGAGTCTGTTCGTTTGCTGGGGGGGGGCAGCTGAGAAAGGGTCTCAAAAGAGCTCCAGGTAGAGGGAGAACAGGTGAAACAAAGGTGCATTCAAGGGCTTCCGCCTCTCCTGGCCTCCCAGCCGGCCCAGGGCGGGGTCCAGTCAGCCTGTGCCTCCCCTCAGGGAAGAATCCCAGCCCCTGCCTTGGTCCATCTGCTCTGACCCTCTCCACCTGACCTTTGATCCCTCTGCCAGACCCACTGCCCACTGGAAGCTCTCCAAGGAGGAAGACAGAGAGGAGAAGGAGGAGGACGAAGAGAGGGAAACAAAGAGGAAGAGGAAGAGGAAGAGGAGGGGGAGAATGAGGCAGAGGAAGAGGAGGAAGACTGAGAAGAAGAGGAGAATGAGGAAGACAAAGAAAAGGAAGACAAAAAGGAAGAGGAGGAGGAGGAAGAAACCCTCCTAGCAAGACCACCTCTGGCTGCCCCTTCTCAGTCCACGTCCAGATGTTTACTTTAATCCCGCCACACAGCTGGAGGGCCCCACGCTTGGAGCCTCCCCCCCCATGGCCCCCATACCTTCCGCCTGCTTGTAGTTCCCACTCCAGAGAGGAAGAGGGTGGTGGGATCAGGGCCCAGCTGAGCCCACTTCAAAGGCCAGTGAGGAAGCGCGCAACTTCCTCCTCCCTTTGGCCGGGAGGGGGGGGAGGGCTCTGAGCTGGTGGGGCTCTGCCGGCTCTGGCGCAGCAAAAGATTTGGGCTCCAAGCGGGCATCTTATCGGGCTTCACATAGGTTAATGATTAACAGGAGGCTGCCCTGGAGAAAAGTGCCAGGCCCAGAGTGGCAGAGGGCAAGCGCCAGGCAGGAGCCCCTGAAAGAGGCTTCCCAGCCCTGAATTCCTTAATTTCACTTCAGGACCAAGATGCCCATGTGGCACTGCCCAAGTGGTCTCAATTGCAACAGCCACTTTGCAGGGACCCATGGATCCATGTTCTGGAAGGCGAGGGGGAGGAGGAAGAGGAAGAGGAGGAGGAGGACGGGTCTCCTCTCAATCTCTGACCACCTCTTCTCAGTCCCATGGGGCAGGATGGGCTCCGTGTCCAGAGGGGGCTGAGGCCCCTTCAGAAGCTCCTGCCAACAGTTTTCTCCCAGCCCCAGCGCTCATTTTCCAGGGGCTGAACTGGATGCCTGGAAACTCTTAGGGGTATCTGAAATCCAAAATCCCCCTCCCCCCACCCCCCCAGCCATGGAAAGGCCCTGGGTGAATCGGGGCCAGTCTTTGTGTGGGTCCCGCGGCCTTGACCACCAGGGAAAATGGGCAGGACAAAGAGGGAGGCAGCCTTCCCAGGTGGACAGCTGCCCTGCGCTCCCAGGTGTGTCTGTGTGGATTGCCTGCAGAGTCCTTGTCACCTGCAGCTTTTAAGACCTGGGAGGCTTTTGCAGATGCAGATCATCCTGCCAGGATCAGACCCTCCCTGCAGCCCCCCCCAACCCCAAAGAGCTTCTGGAGACCCTGGGGGGGATTTCCCCCCTCTGGAAGGCTTCAACTTTCAATTCTCTTTCAATTCAGTGAAGGGGTTGAAGGCTTCTTTCCCTCCTTTTCTCTTCTCTTCATGCTGTCTTTTAATCTGGGTGCTTGAATGCTTGACCACCACTGACCCTTTGGGTGAAAACGATAGGAAATTGGCAAATATATCAGCAACTCAATCAAAACCCTAAGAAATCCCCTCCTCCACAGACACGAAGAGGGTGAGAGCAGCCAGATCAGGTAAACTTTCCTTTCAGGACAGCAGATGTCACTCCAATTAATCGACAGAAGATCCTTTCCTTTGGGGGATCGCCCCCTGCCCATCCTTCCTAATGGCCCATGGAAAAGAAAGAAAGAGAGGGAAGGAAGGAAGGAAGGAGAGAGAGAGCGAGAGAGAAAGAAGAGGGAGGGAGGATTGCAAGAGAGCAAGACAAACCACAGGGTGCAATTAAAAGAATGGAGACATTTATTTCCTATCCTAAAAAGAAATGCTAAGGGGACGCCGCCTTCCCCCCCGCCCCCGCGCTGGCCCACGGACCGAGTTCGGGCCGGAGGGAGAAGCGGCGCCGCAGCCACGCGCGGCCTCCGGGCTCCGCGGTCTCGGGGGCCGATGGCTCCGGGCAACAGGGAGGGAAGCCGGGCTGGGGCAGCGCGGAGCGTCCTTGCAGGGAGCCCACCGGCCAGGAGCAGCCCCGGGCAGCAGCGGCGCAGGGGGAGGGGAGGGAGGGGAGGGGAGGGCTGGGGCGGACAGGTGACCCTCTTACCGGGGCCAGGCAGGCAAGACGCGGCCCAGCCTCCCGCAGCCTCGGGGGGCTCAGGGAAGTGGGGCCGCCGGCTGAATCGGGCGCGGTAGCAGGTGCCGGAGGGAGCCTCCCCGGCGGTGGCTGCTCTACCTGCGAGCTCCAAGGCCCGCGGCTTCACCTCACTGGGACAGCGGAGTCTCTGCGGGTCGCTTCGCTGGCTCCTTGGAAGGGCTTTCCGGATCCCAGCTCTTCTTGGCCCTCGCGTTCTTCTGCTGCGACTGGGCCTCAGCTGGGCCCGGAGCTTCCGCGCACACACACTTCGCCTGGGGTCCCTGGCCAAGCAGCAGCGCTGCCCTGTAACCTCCTCACAGGAGCTGGCAAGGACACAAGACCACCCACCTCACCCCTCAGATTTGAATTGTACGGGAAGCTACAATTGTATGGAAAGCTTCCCCGTTTTATAAATGGGACAGAAAGGGAGGCCCAACACCCGCACAGCGGCAGCCCTGAGCACGCTTCCTGGCCGGTCCAGCGGGCAGCTTCTTTGCCTGCCATTTCATCCAAACAGTCGGCGTGGAAATCTTCCCCAATGGCTGGGCAGCCTCACAGAGAAAACCCGGCAGCTGGAAAGGCCTGACCCCTAAGAACCGGCAGAATATTGATACTATGTTTGGAGTAAATCGCGGTTGTAAGTAGAACTCCACAATTAAAAGAAATGAAATTCGGCGCTCAGAGTAAGGAAACGGAAAGCCGCACTGCCTTTCAGGTGTTTATTTAGAAAGGATTTCCTGTTCTGGCCTAAAAAAATTAAAAACCAAAAGAGACTCCCAAATCATAGATCAAAGTGCAAAATAAAATGGCAAGTCCTTTTAGGTGCTCCGGGTCTAAATCATAAAGTCCAAGAAGGGAGGCGGTTTTGCTTACTGCCCGTCGTTTTCGTGGAGAGAGACACTGTGGCTTGCTTTAAGATGGTTTATGAATGCTTGGGGGGCTCAACCAAGGGGGGGGGGAGGATTCACCCTTCAGCCGTGACTCACAGAGGGAGACCTCCTCTGGGTCGCCACTGGAAATCAATACACTCAGAATGATTCATATGGTAGGCTCCTAAGGTCGTCCTCGACTTATGACTGTTATTTGGACTAGCATTTCTGTTGCTAAACAAGGTAGTCTTATCACATGTGGGGGCCATGTGTAAAAGCAAAGAAAAATTGGAGAAAATGTTAAAACAACATATAGATTATAAACCAGAAATATTTTTGCTAGGCATAATACCCGAAAAGTATGATAAAGGGAACTTATACTTAATATTACATGTCTTGACAGCAGCAAAAATTGTATTTGTGGAGTTCTGGGAAAATGAGGAAACACCCACAGAGGATGATGTAAAAATTTACATTGCGCAGAAATGGACAGATCGGCATGAAAAGTAAAAGAAAAGGAAGATACAAAACATTTTCAAACATAGGACTTGGACACGTATAAATGCTTGGACAGCAGAGGTAGAAATTAGGAGTGGGAAAAGTATTATGGTATATAAATTAATTGACCCAGACAATACACTGTTCACTAAGCACTTATGTACGTAATAAGGGAAAACTTATAAACTGTTAAAAACACCAAAAATGATCAATTTGATTTTACAACCTTTTTGCCAATCCCTGCGGTTATTAAGCAAATGACACAGTCATTAAGCGGATACGGCTTCTCCCGTGAGCTCTGCTTGTCGGAAGCCGGCTGGGAAGGTTGCAAGCGGCGATTTCTTGACTTTAGGATACCGCAACCGTCACAGATACAGGCCGGTTGCCAAGGGCTTTGCCAGGTTTTGACCAAGAGGGTGACGGTCGTTGAGTGAGAACCAGTCGTAAGTCAGTGCTTTTTTTCAATGCCAATACTAACTTTGAATGGTTGCTGAACGAAGGTTGTAGGTTGAGGACTGCCTGTGTATGAATCAACTCTCAATCTTTTCCATATCATAATTATTTCTTACTTATAATCAAGTTCTACCTAGGCAGAAAATACAAAACGCTGCAGGAAAGTATTTGCATTGATTACAGAAAGCGTCAGAGTTAAGGGTGTGGTTGTGTTAGCTTAGTACGTTTCTATTTCACACGAGGCTAAAAAAATTGCCAACATCATCTGGGGGTAACGGTTACAATTGATTTCGCTGAGATCCTTTGGGTGTTGCGTAACTAACACCACACTCTGGGGCAGTCTCAGCATATCAGAAGGGAGGAAAAAAAGACACCGATACACCAGAAGCAGCATTCAAGGGAAGAGAAGCCCTCCTCGCCATTCCTTAAACCTGCGGTTGGCCAGGATGCTGAAGGAGCCGGCTTGGCTTAGCCACGATCTCAAATGGGTTTCATCCCAATCCACATTTTCCAGACTGGGGTGTAGACGGAACCCGGCTGCCGAATTTCCAGCCGCACGCTTCCCATTTACACAAAGCCATCCTTGGCTCAAAAAGTATCAAAATGCATAGAAAAGTATTTGTCAGAATCAAATGCATATAAAACTGGAGTATTCGTGAGAAAATACATTTAAAATAAGCCTCTAAAAATATTTCGGTGTGATTTTATAAAACGAGGTGGAAGGAAGGCAAAACAGAAACATGAAAGGACCGGAGGGAAACAGTGAGAGGGGTCAGGAATTGTATCGGCTGAATTTCCCGGCAGGGATGGGACAAAACGGGAGTTACATCCAAACAAGTTGCATCCTTCCCAAGGGGGGGGGGGGAGGGGGAGGTTAATGCAGCCAATGGCTCAGACTGGAAAAACACGACCAGCTCATTCCATTTCGGAAAATTGGGATACAGGAAGGAGCCCGAAGGAACCTGTGGATCCTCTCAGCTGCCCCCCCACCTGCATTTCTCTTCTGGGAGCAAAACTTCCCAGGTGTTTCATCTCCTCTCTGGGACCTCTGCCCGCATCCCTGAACCTCCACTCCTGGAATTGGCCCTCACAATCCTAGTCCAAGTCCAGCTGGTGGACGGAGGCTGCTGCGAAGGAGTTCCTGGTTGCCCTCCATCCTGTGGACAGCTGACCGTGCCACCCCTTCAGCATCAGACCCGCCTCTGCTGTAGGCAACTGGCAATGATAGGAAGTTCCCCAAACAAGGCAGGTCCCCAAACCTGGGGGGGGGGAGAGTTTTCTATGTGAAACAAGCAAAAAGGGTTAAAATTGTGTCCCCTGGGAGGAGTCAGGGATGCCAGCGCATTTGTGAGGGGGATTCTCTGCCGGGAGAGTCCGACTGTATCTTTGTGGGTCTCCCAGAGGGATTGTCAACGTGCAGTTTTTCTAAGTCCAATCAGCAACAAAAGAAGGATCCAGGGTTGGCTTTGGGGTGCAGGGTGCCCAGAGCTGGGAGACCCTCCAGAGGACCCACCAACCCAGCCAGACCAAGGACACGTCTCCTCACCCTGCCTTAGCCCAGACAAACCCACCTGGCAAAATGTCCTTCCCAGGTGGCCTCAAAAAGGTTTGATTGCCAAGCCTCGCTCCCTTTTCACAGAGCCTACAGAACTGGACCCTTGATTCCTGTAACCTATTCGGCTTAAACAATAACAACACAACACACACAATGGACACTGTGATTCTGGACACCTGGGCAAGCCAATTCCCTCTTGCTCTCTGCCTTGCTGGCTTGTGCTGGGACCCTCCCGCCCCAACACACCACCCCGAGGCCAGACCCCCATTCACCCCCCCCAGCCATTCCCAATCCCGTGCCCAGCCCTCTCCAAAGGTCTCAGCCAAAGTCTTCAGCAGCAGCCCCTTCCCCACCCCTCCCCCCACTCAGAAGCCCTCGGATAATGAAAAGGGCTCATTTCCTGCTAACACACAGCTGCTCCTGTCCATCTCCGCTGCCCTCTGGAGAGCGGAATGGAAAAGCATAAAATAAATATTCTAAGTGAAATAAAGAAAATGCTATTTGTCTTCAGCCATTTGAGGTGGCCGAGACTTTTATTTTCATAGAATTGTAGTGAATTAGCTGACTTCTAAGATTTCTCCCATAAGCAAAGAGGAATGCAACCCCCTCCTGGTTTTGCCCAATCGTAGGACCCCTCCAGGCCAGGGAGGCTGGCAGCTCCCTCGAGAAACAGCAACTGAGAAGGCAGCTCCCTTCATCTCAGCTGGCCTTGGACCAGGGTTAGAATTGCAGCCTAGAAGCCACACAACGGCAAGCCCCAGATCACATTTCACAATATCTGATGAGGTGTTAACTGAGATATGCAAGGGCTGCACGTTTGCACCCTGGAACAGGAGCCCCATTCAGACAACCTGGCCTGGAGGGACCATCCTGGCAAGTGAGATCCATCCACGGACCTTGGAGGAAGCACAGCTGAAAAGAAACAACCATCAAAACCTGTGATTTTGAGACAGCAGATTCTCATTCCGCCAGTGGAAATACTTCCTGAAGGTTTCTATCCCTGAGCCAAAATGCAGCCAGAATTTGGGGGTCTCCTTCCCCCCAAAGACCCCCCTTCAAGCGTCACTTGAATGGCGCCTTTCCCAAAACCATACCTGCCACCCGACTTGGGGCAGCTTTTTTGGAAAAGGGACCATTTCAGGCTGTTTGTGTTGCAACGACCCCAAGTCTTAACATCATTAAAGTGAGGCCTCAGACACGAAGGTCTGAGCCCCACACGTCCACTCAGAAACCCCACAGTCCATCTCTTTAAAAAGTGAGTCAGAAGCCCAACTCCAGAGCTGCAAATGACAATCTAGACCAGCGTTTCTTGACCGTAGCAACGTGAAGTCATGTGGACTTCGATTCCCAGGTTGGGGGATTCTGGGAATTGAAGTCCACACGTCTCTCAAGTCGCTAAGATCCATAAAGAGACCTCAACAGATGCTAGTCAGTTGTGATTAGGGCTTGTAATGGATCACCCACTAGAGGGCAGCAAAGGGCTACAATTTGAATTTAGTCTTTTTTCACCCCCTATTGGGTTCCTGCTGATGTTTGCAGGGAAAAGAAAAAAAACCCCGAGGGAGACCCCGAGCTCCCCAGTTCCTCTCCTAGGGAGTGGAGCGTGGCTGCCTTTTGTGGATTTTGTCTGGATTTGGCATCTTGGATGGGATGGATG